AATACTTGAACTCTACTGTTTTGATATATGCTTAGTTGTTTGAGGTCAACACTTAACTAATGAACCTAGGCTGTTAAATTAGCTTACCCCTAGAATCGACTTCCGTAGGAACATTGGTTCGATTAACCTATCTATCAAAAACATCTTAGTTCTGTTTCAGCAGCCCAAGGGAGAACTGTCAGCTCGCTCACTGTTTGACTTCTAATCAATGATGACTGACTCCGTCAGCAATCGATGATAGTCCATGGATGTCTCTTCATTTGCTAGCTTGTCATCTTATTCTGTAGCATGTGATTTATTCTACAACTATCGCTGACAATTTGCTAAGTGCCTGCAAGAGGAAAAGTTTGAGAAAATGAAACAACAATATCTGAGGAAGTGACGCGAGTGGGCTACCCTGTCTCCAAAATCCTTTAGATCGATCTTCATCTATCTTGACGAAAATTAACATTCCTTTTGGCCTATTCAAATCCAACTTCCGTCTACTTGGTTTAAATTGTACTCCAGCTATATTTCAGAAAGTTATGAATAATGCAGTCAGTGATAGTGAAGGTTGTAGCGTGGTGTCGAGTCGAGATTAACTATGAACACCGCTACTGATAAACACGTGCCAAGTAAATCAGAAGGCGAGGGTTGAACGTAACCAAATAAATCCATAAAATCCCCGAGAAGCCTAATATCAGAAGGCAGTTAATGGACCAAGTCGAGATATACTTGCTGGCGATCTCATGGTATCGAAAGGATACCGAAATCGTATCAGGATACAAGCTTGGTTACAGAACGTAACCGAATTCGCGCGAAGTCACAATCAAAGTGTAAGGAATAGAATGGAAGCACAATATAGCTGTCATTAGCACAGTCAAACAAAAGCACATTAAAACAAACATTGGTACAGTTGGTTATAATAATAATTGTTTTTATTAAACCAGTCGTGTCCTTGTGATAAATGTGAGTCACTACAAGGTAATGAAGTTTACCAAAATGATCTTATTATTCATGGTCCTGACAGAGTAACTCATAGTCAGAGAATTCGCTTTATTGCATCGTTCAGCTGAGAAGGATATTACGGTGAATCCAAACAACTGTTCGTCTGGTGTTTCTGGTTTTGAATATCTTGGATATCTAGTTGGTGGTAATGGTTTTACACCAGATATAAAACGACTAGCTCCATTGACAAATACGCCATCTTCGAAAGATCTTACAGAACTACGTTCACTAGTGGGTATTCTTCAATACTATTTCCGTTTTATTCTTAATTATTTTCGTATTATTTGTTTATTTAATATTTTGATATCTGATTCATTTAAACGATGTAAAGAAAAAGTCATGCTTACGAAGTATACTTGTAGAATTGTCTACTATGATATTAGTACTGCTCTAATAATAGGCCTAATCCTAAAATTGTAGATCTGTCATGATATAACTGCCTAATCTATAAGATCTTACGTGGAAGTCGCATCATCGTCTACACCAACTCACTGTATCGTAACAACTACCAATACATGATGAAGAACAAGCTTGGGCTGGAGGAAGAACAATATATTTAATATGAATAAAAGATATAAGGTAATATTCAGCAGGGACCACGCCTGCATGGCCGAGCCATGCCATTCGGATAACTCCAACTCATCCAATTCCTTGTTCGCGCCTTCTCCATTGTTAGGTACGTCTCCACGTTAAATATTGAATATCTATTTTCCAAGTAATCTCGTATTCAGCTTTGAGGATTGTGTGGTTATGGTCCAATGCCACTACATACTAAAGTTTCTTTAAAGTGATGCTGTTCATCAAACTTACTCACTTAGTGTACACTCTGTACTAATTACTGAAGCATTATTTGCGGGTGCAGCTTTGGAGCAGGAAGGTAGACCAGTTATTTGTGTTTCACGCAAACTTACTGTTACTGAACCAGGCTATTCATAAACTCAGCGAGAAGCATGAGATGTGTTTCTGGCAGTTAAAATACTTCATAAATATTCATTCGCGAAGAAATTCACTGTTGTTATCTAACATGAAGCTTCAAAGTTTGTTTATCATCCTGAAAAATATTTAGCCGATTCCTCAACTGCTACGGTACAACGATAGAGTATTGCTTTGAGTGCCTATGAATATACGGTTCAGCACAGAAGTGCCAAACAAATCCAACACGTTGACTATATTTCTCGACAATCTTTGCAAGATAGACCTGTTAATACCTCACACTGTTTGTTAGCGCAAACTTTGCTATTAGAAAAACTCGTAGATACTTTGGATGTATATTCAGTGCCATACGGAAATGTTGCTATGTTAATCTGAAACCTAGATTTCTTGTCTTTTTTCTAAGCGGTATGAGTTATCCACTACTTCTGATGGCATTTTGGTTTAAATGATCGTGTTGTTATACCTGATTCATTGCGTGAATCTGTCCTTGAAGATCTTCATAGTGGACCTTCAGTTGTTGAGGAAATTAAGTCCTTCGCTGGGCTCACATGTTGGTGGCCAGAGATAAACGCGGATTTATGTCTTACAGCAAAGGAGGTGGACTCCATGGCCAGTATCGTCTGAGGCCTGGCGGTTAGTTCATGCAAACTCTTGTGGCTTACATCTTGACGAATGCTATGCGTTTATTGTCAGTGATTGTGTTTCTAAGTCACCTGAAGTTTTTTTCGCAACATCAGGAAATCCTGACCCCACAATCTGAGCATGAAGAAAGGTTTTGAGCCGACAGGAGGCTTCTATGGTATTGGTGGCTAATAGTGGCCCTCATTTTGATGCAAACGCTATCGTCACTTGGTTGGATGGTGAAGGGTGGAAACATCTGTGCACTGCTCCAAGGCGCCCTTGTTCTGTTGGAAAAGCAGAAAAATTCACCAGACTTTTGAAAACTTCTATTTATTCCATTGCTGTTTCAACATATGATGAGCGTAGTAGACTACTAGGGGGAATAATTCTTTTTTCAGTTATGAGATGTGTAGAGTCTGCATATGATATTTATTACTGTGGAAGTGATCTTCGACCAGTCCCAACGATTGTGTAGATAATTTTGGAAAAACTATTTGTTCAAACTCCAGATGTCAATAATTTATGAAGTGTGTCGCGCAATTTCGTGGATTGGTTGATGTTAGAAACTATCAATATTGGATGCCGGCTCAGTGGTCCAGTTGGTTAAGCGTTCGCGCGCGAGACCGAAGGCCCTGGGTTCGAATCCCGCTCGCGGGATCGTGGATGCGCACTGCTGAGGAGTCCCACAATAGGACGAAACGGCCGTCCAGTGCTTCCAGGTTTTCAATTGTGATGGTCTAACATCAATTGGTTCAAGATCTCAATTAAAATTTATGAACACACAACCGGGAACCAGGTGATTTCGTACCGATTTCTGCTTCCGATTCTCATACTAATGACTGTATTCTAGGTAATACAAAGTCCACATCCAATACACAGTCGGACAGACACACGACGAACCTATGAAAAAGAAATGCAATCGGTTATAGAAATTTAGATTATCATTTGAGTTGTGGCGGTTGTAGTATTTACTCGAACTACCGGTTCTTTTATAAGCAGAGATGGATAGTGGCTAGCATTGGAAATCAGGACGCGTGTTTTGTCCTGTTTGGGACTCGTCAGCATGATGTACCAGCGTCACAAAATGAACATCAACTCTAAGATGCAGGTACCTCCAGCTGAAGAGTCTCAACTAGGACGAAACGAGCGTCCTGGATTCCAACGCCAGCCATTATCCAACTCATCAGCCGAACAGATTGTGCCTGTGAATGTGATGGCCGATATTATCATTGTATTTCTGAACCACACTCCTCAATCCTTCTTTTTGTCAAAGCGATAAAAATAATGCTGAATGTTTTCTTCATAAGAAGTATTTTGAAGATAAATTAAACTAATTCATTTCTCTTTCAGTTCCAAAATAACATGAGAAACCAGATGTTCCGGGCGCAATGAGCACAGTACTGAAGATACTACATATCAGGGGTCTCATAGAGATGCATTCTGAGACACTTCTTTCTGATTTTCATAAACAGTGTCTTGTGTACAAGTGGTTTACCGGTTCTCATTAACTACGACTAGAGAAACATTAGAAAGGAGAATATCCAAATGAACTTCAAAGGAATATCCTGATATAGGGTTGGTAGGATGGAAAAAACGGTTGAAACGAAACCTGTTTTTTGGTAGTGTCTATTCAACCTTGCTCATCGTGTGTAATCAACGTTTTTTGTGACTGTTCCATAACACTCTTAGCCTGACATAGGCGTGTCGATTACGAAGAGACTATCTGAAAGCCCAATTTTCATTGATCATTTAATAAAACTGAGCACCGCTCTCCACTTCGTAGGGCGACTACGTCGCACATTCACCCCGAAACTGTTTTAACACTAAAAACCATAAATCACCTGACTTCAAAAATATTTAAGTTGTTGCATTACCTTTACCCTAAGGGGATGAAGATCTTTTAGGAAGGTTAAAGGACGTGTAACGAAGTGGGTTACAGGATTAAGGATAAAACCTTAAGAGAAAAACGTAACTAACTAGGTGTCATGCAACCGAGTTAAAAGAGAATATGGGGTGACCTGAAGATGTGATACAGACAAAGTAAACCGTATCAGCCAAGCAAAAACAGTTCAGTTTTAACCTAAACATTAAAACCCGTGATATCATATCTGACAAAGCCCCATTAACCATGAATAATAGTCAACCTGAACTCTTCAGCAAATGTAAGAAAGGCTACTTTGGTGGGAATTTTGTAGAGGACACTGGAAAACCTCTCAGAGACCCGTTTTTACCATCTTCCTTTGGATCAGAGATTACTACATTCACTAACTTAACAACTGTTTGCCCGTTTCCTTAATCAATCAAATGATTAAAATACTTGTGTACCTGCTGTTCTTCTTTCAGCCCCCTATTCTTGTTTAAAATACTGCCTGTTATAACTGTTCGGTAGACTGCTCTATCTGCCACAAAGATAATGGATGTTAACTGTTTTAACAAATGCATTTTCATCAGTCGCTACACAAAAAGCGTAGCGGCATATACGGATATGGTGAGACATTCGGGTTGGTTGGATCTATACATTTAATTAGGCAATTACAGTTATTTGGAAACTTATTGAGTCAAGAGGTAATTCTCATTTTATCTAAGGATTTGATCAAACTGTAATTTCAGCCAACTGATCTAGTCGTTCACTCTACAATAACACAACGTGCCTACAGGTGCAATGTGAAAAATAACATAGTTGCATAGACGCAAACCGTTATACATTCTCATTTTTACACTTGATTTAAACCTATGGCTGTCCTTGGTATTTTATCGAATATCAAACATTCAAGGATTACAAAATTGTACTATTAAAACCTAAGTGATTTTTATCAATGTTGGGTTTATGCACTGAGTGAAGTTTTAATTTTAGACGATATATTGTAATAAGATAAGGTACTTCAAGGATTCTTTGGGAAGGGAAAATCTACAGCTTTAAAGGTATTGCTAGTTGAACTTCAGTGGACTTAGGGAGCCTTAACTTATTCAATTTTATATTTTGTAGTCCTGTTCAGTTTCAGTTTGGGAAGGACAGGAGGCTCGATGGCCTATGTTAGTCCTGGCAATGGTGGTCTCTCAGTTGATCCAACTTTCTTTTGAAAGAGTCGACGGATGGAGTCTCAAACACGTGCTGAGGTAGTGAATTCCACCCGTTGATGATTCGATAGGAAAGTCGATAGTTAGCTGACAAGTAATTTGTTCTCGGCTTGTGAACTTTTTTGGAGTGTCCTCGTAAATTCTCTGTTTTGGAAGACAAGAAAAATGAGGGCATGTTAGGTGCAAATTTATCACTAAGCAATTTGTAGACTGTAATCAAGTCGCCTCTAGTTCTACGATATGACAACGGGAAAAGGTTCAGCTTGTCCAGTCGAGATTCATACGGAAGCTTCGCTATTCCGGGAACCAGCTTAGTCGCCGTTCTCTGAACCTTTTCCAGAAGCTCACTGTCTTTTTTTAAGCAGGGGCTAGCCGCTTGTATTCAGTACTCAAGTTTAGGACGAACGAACACTGTATACAAAGTCAAAAACGTCTTAGCGTCGACATGACTAAAAGCTCTACGTATTGACCATAACGTTCTAAAACTTTTGGCGGCTATTGCACGGCAGTGTGCAGTAGTCTTTAAGTCTTGACTAACGATAACTCCTAAGTCATTATATGTCTGGACGACAGGTAGCTCAGTGTTATTCATCGTGTATGTATCTGTGCCTTGATGACCGATATGCATCACAACACACTTGGAAGTATTTATCGGCAACTGCCATGTTTGAGACCATTCAGATAACTTCTTCAGGTCATTTTGAAGTTCTAATCTGTCACTCTTACATCGTATCGTTCTCCATATCTTGACATTGTCAGCATGTAGCAAGACCGATGATGATAGGAGACAAGGAAGGTCATTTACATACAAGAGGAATAGCACTGGCCCCAAAACTGTGCCTTGGGGCACTCCACTAAGCACAGTTTCCCAGCTAGATAACTTTGAAATCACCCGAACTCTTTGTTGACGCCCAACTAAGAAGTCTTTTATCCACATCAATAAATTGCCTCTAATCCCGACTTTTCTTAACTTATATAACAGCCGGTTGTGCGGAACTTTATCAAAAGCTTTACTGAAATCAATGAAGGCGACGTCTACAGGTAGCTTTTGGTCCTTAAGAGCACACCAGCTTTCACGAGCCACTAATAAGTTAGTGAGACAAGAATAACCTATTCTGAAGCCGTGCTGCTTCTCCAAGAGGATCCGGTTTTTATCGAGATACTTAAACAGCTCCTTCCGAATAATCTTTTCTAATATTTTAACAACCACACTAGTTAGGCTAACGGGGCGGTAGTTCTCAGGTTTGTGTTTCGTGCCTGTTTTGAAGACAGGACTTACTATGGCATTTTTCCAATCTTTCGGTAAGCGACCCTGCGTGACGGATAGGTTAAAGCATGTACTTAAAGGGCTTGCAACGAAGTTAGATAATTCCTTCAGTAGCCTAGGATGTAATTCATCGGGCCCCATGGATTTACCTATGTCAAGCTTATTTAGCAGACCAAAGACATCGAGTTCTTTAATGGTCACGGTGTATGTACTTGATAGTAGGTCAGAAATATGTCACCTCGATTTCGTATTGCTAATTTAATACAGTGTGGTTTGTGTACGCACATGAATGAGAATAAGTGAGTTGTGTTATTAAACCGAACACCCTCTAAATCTAAGTTTTAAAAGTTTGAAGACTAAGGGTTATAGTTTCCTTCAAGTTCTGTGTTCAAATGTTTTAAGATCCAGCGTTACCGTATCATCAGTAATATTTTTTTCGTATGACTTTGATGCGCCGAACGTTCTGATTTGCTGAGTTTGTATGTTGTCTATGACTCGCTGACTGATAACGTTGATCCAAATCTTCATTTTCATGACCTATGTACTTCATTACAATTGTTACTGTCTTTTAATGGTGTTGTAAGTAGCTTGCAAACATTATCAAATGAGAAACGTGGTTTCATGACTTTTGCCTGTAACCCTATCAAAAGGACTGTTTTCTTAGTTCCTATTCGCTAACTACGACTCTCCTGCTACTCTTTCCAAGATGTTTCTGAAAAATCAAATCTCTATTTGACCTCATAATAAATCATAGATAAAGATGTTTTGGGAGGTTATTACGGAAATCTGTGAATACAGTCTGTAGGTGCTTGACTGTTGGTATTGGTAACCCAGTTCGGCCATAAATAGATTCATGAAACAAATGTAAATAACGACAGATCTGTGGTGGTTTTGTCATAGAGTGTTATCTATTTTCTATATGCATGGGTAATACTACAAAATATTGTCAATTAGTCTGACGGATATCCCTGCCAAGTTGGTAATTTAGTGAACTTCACTACCCAATCTTTAAGATCAAATACATAATAAAATCTTTAGTCTGTGGTAGATTCAGTTATATTAATAATATGTTACGAAATTTCCACCAAATCCTTTATCGAAGGCTTAGTGTTTACTAATGTTCAAATTGAGTTAATAAAAGCTTAAAAATGTCATTTATTGAGACACTAAAATGGACGAGTTTGAGACCTCTATCATTAAGAACCGGTGTTATAATGTGAGTGTTTTTCTCACAAGTTCTGTCTAACTTAGCTATTTTTCACATAATGCTTGAGTACAACAGTGACAACATATGTTTTTCGCACTAGGTAGATCTAAGTTGTTCTAAATAATGTTATATTAAGCTGTGTTTTTGGTATGATTCTAAGTGTCTATGTTTCATCATCACACCTGGGAACTACTTAAAGTTACATCATAAGTTCCGAATAATCTGTTTCTATTAGTCTGTGCGATTCCACATAGTAGTACTTAAAACGAAAGATAGAATTAATTTTTCTTGAATGTTAGAAAACTTTCATCTTTTTGTACTAAATTGAATATTTAGTGTATCAGTTATAAATATTGTGTAAGTTTCTGATAAACACAGATCTCTGGAAAATGCTGTTTTCGGAAGTTATTTGTCTTGGGTTCTGTTATTCTCATTATCCCTTTTACAAAATTTCTTTCGATTTGATTGATTTTTGTTTCTGTAGTAAATCTGAGTATGGAGTATATTTTTTCATTACAGATGTCGAAACATTTACAGATGGCCATGTGAATTAATATGCATTCTACCCTGTAGTTTGTTTGAGCCAGAAGGTTTCTACGTTAGAGTTGGTCGATTAATACATTAGATTGGTGAAGCAGTAAATATTCATGCAATGTTACAAAATTCGACCTACATCGATCAGGTTGAGAGACGGTAATTGTTTTAAATACGAATCGTTTTTGATCCGCACTTATATAGCCATTATGTCATTGTTGAAGTCATTTTAATCATTATTATGGCAGGTTAATGACAGTCTTATTTGACTATTTCTTCGATAAATATTTAGTACATCTTGTCAAAATACATCATGTAAAAAATATGCAAGAGTTTGTGAATGACTTTCCTGGTTTATTTAAATAGCGATTTTTCTTTTGATTAAAATTTGCCTAAAATATTGTTGATAAGTTCGTTATCTTCTATCAACTATGCTGTTTAAGACATTTAATAGGCATATTAAACCCTTGCCAACGTTGATATGAAATTTTAATTATCAGTTTAACGATGGTAGAAAAAGAATAGAAGTGATCGTAAAGTTATCGGCCTTTGATTTCAGAGCAGTCAAATAACTTATGCTTTCCTAGTGCACTAAAACTATGAAATGGTTTTGATTTTATCCCCTTGTAATGTTAGAAATAGTATTAATTTGAATATACATATTATCTTACCAAATTGCATACTGTTTATATTTTGAAATGTTTCTATCTAACGTGCGATTCTTGTTCTTCTAGATGGAACTTAATACAATATAAAACAGTATCTGTCATAATTTATCCCCCTGCGTTAAAATTGCAAGTTTTCATTTCGATTGTTTTAATGATATGATCTCTAAAGTAATAGTTAATTGTTAGTATATTTATTCAGCCACTCATTAAAATAGTATAATATCTTAAACGGAGATCGTATCTGAAGTATTTAATCACTGAATAATCACTTCGATGAGCTAAAAATTAAAGTATGACATTATGTTTAGTATTACTGACACGAGTTTTGTGTTTATATTTCTTCCAAGGAGCTATGAAAATTTGATATTTTGGAATAAAATTACTGCACACAAATAAAAGAGAATTTATCAATTCGTTTCTTCTCTCTGTAGTAATTGATGATTATGTTATTGTAAGTTTTAAAATATTCTCTTAACTAAAGTTTAAGACCGGATAATTGTTTAGAAGAGACGCGTGGAATTACTTAAACTTGATTATAACATTTATTTATTTATTTGAACACATAAACATTGGTACAGAGGGCACCTAATACATATGCTCCACACAATAAAAGTGAGGCCAGTAGCAGTCATCACTGATTTGTGTGAGGGCTATGATGCTGCCCCGGTGCCCAGACTGATGCAGGTGGTTTTTTTATGAGACCACCCCCGAGCTTTTGACCTGGAGGTCTAATCCACAAGGCAGTGAAGCAACTTTAGGGGAGAGTCCGCTCTCCCTCTCGAAATGCCCTCACGTGGCCACGCGTATACAGCCACTCTATAGGAACTCCTAATTACTGCCTTTTCGCAGCATGTGTGTTACTTACGAAATTAGCAGAACGAAAAGATAATGTCCGGCGCTTTAATCGTGTTGGTAGACACGGATGACCCACATACAGGAGTTGGAAAACCCTGATTCCAAAGCAGTGGTGTACATAGGCTCCGGGATTCTGAGAGGGAAAAAGGTATATGAACATATTGTTGGTCACTGGGTACCATGGGACCGCATCTCCTAAAGTTGCTTCACTGCCTTGTGGATATGCGGTCCCATGGTACCCAGTGACCAACAATATGTTCATATACCTTTTTCCCTCTCAGAATCCTGGAGCCTATGTACACCACTGCTTTGGAATCAGGGTTTTCCAACTCCTGTATGTGGGTCATCCGTGTCTACCAACACGATTAAAGCGCCGGACATTATCTTTTCGTTCTGCTAATTTCGTAAGTAACACACATGCTGCGAAAAGGCAGTAATTAGGAGTTCCTATAGAGTGGCTGTATACGCGTGGCCACGTGAGGGCATTTCGAGAGGGAGAGCGGACTCTCCCCACACTCGACCGTACCAGGGCACTTAGGGGCAGAAGCACATCCGCCTGTAGCTCTTCTAGGTTTACTGATGGTTCCAAGCCCGGGTAAAGGAGGAGAGTTGGGCGTGGGGTCGGCAACTCCATCCTGTAGGAAACAGCCATGCTAAAAAACGATAACCAGAACAAACAAATTAAATCATTTAAACCCTACTCTGGGAGTTGAAGGAAGAATTATGACGCCTCATGATGAAAGCCGATATTCTTCGGAAGTCACGAGGCCAATGCCCCTTCTAACAACCAGAGCAACAATTTTTATGGGTACATGGAACGTTCGGACAATTCGGGAGACCGGGATGACTAGTCAAATAGCAACGGGAATTAGGAGATACAAATTAGCAGTACTGGGAATCAGCGGAACCCATTGGACCCAAGCTGGACAACAAAGGCTAAATACGGGAAAGATGCTGCTATGCATGATCACGAAGAGGAAAATGCTCCACACACAAGACGTTGATCTGATGCTGTCCAAAGAAGCACGAAATGCACTTATATGATAGGAATTCCACGAATCCAGGACCAACAAAGCATCATTCTAAACAAAGAATGAGGGATTTATGATAAATTTTTTTCAGTGTTATGCACCTACCAACCAAAACAATGATAACGATAAAGATCAGTTCTACGAGAGGCTGCAGTCGATCATAATGAAGTGCTCAAGAAAGGGTCTCACCATACTGATGGGAGATCTAAACGCCAAAGTCGGAGTCGACAACACCGCGTATGAAGATATCATGGGGCGACATGGACTAGGATAAAGGAACGAGAATGGCGACAGATTCGCAAATTTGTGTGCATTCAACAAATCGGTTACAGGCGGCACAATATTCCCACACAAACGCATACACAAAGCTACATGGATCTCACCGGATCACGCCACGGAAAACTAGATCGATTATATTTGCATCAGTAAAAAATTCAAAAGGATAATAGGAGACGTGTGAACCAGGAGAGGAACTGACATGGCTTCAGATCACCATCTGGTTGTGACCAAGGTGAAACTGAAGCTAAAGGAGCATTGGATAGCTGGACAAATAGCATTACAATGGTTCAATACAGTTTTCTTTCGAGATGCTGACAAACTCAATGAATTCAAGATAACTTTCAGAAACTGGTTCCAATCCCCACAGGATCTACTGAAAGAAGAAACTACTATAGAGGACAACTGGAAAGGGGTCACAGAAGCATCATAATAAGGAATGGATCTCGATCAAAACCCTAGACAAGATTCAAGGAAGAAAGTTTCAATTATCTGAGAAGCATCGTCGATGAACAAGGAGGATCCGATGTAGAAGTATAGGTAAGTATTGGCAAAGTGAGGACAACATTCCTACAATTGAATAATATATGGAACTCAAAACAACTGTATGCAAGTCAACATCAAAATCACAATTTTCAATACGAACGTCAAGACTGTTCTACTATACGGAGCTAAAACTTCGAGAATTACCACATCCATCATCAAAAACGTACAAGTATTTATAAACGATTGTGTACAAAAGGTACTCAGTATTTGTTGGCCGGACACCATCAGCAGCAGTGTACTATGGGAAAGAAGAAACCAGCTTCCAACTTAAGAGGAAACTAGGAAAAGACGTTGGAAGTGGATAGGACACACATTACGGACATCATCAAACTGCATCACAAGGCAAGCACTAAATTGAAATCTTGAAGGGAAACGGAAATGAGGAGGGCCAAAGAACACACTACGTCGCGAATTGTAAGCAGACATGAGAAAGACGAATAGGAACTGGAAAGGACTGCCCAGTACAGAGTTGGGTGGAGAATGCTTGTGAGCGACTTATGTTCCTCCATGAGGGGTAACAGACGTAAGTAAATGAGTACGTATAGTGATGTATTTTTTTGGAATGAAGTGAATTTTCATTGAGATTCGGTTTGATTCGATCACATAATGCCTTCCCATTTACCACTGGTTTCTTGCAAGATCATCATCTTTAATATAGACGATTTTTGCCCCTTTTAGGATTATTTCATTTCCGAAACGAACAGTACTACTTAAAATATATTTCAGTAGCTACACCACCGAAAATGTAATATTTAAGTCGTTTGGTTGGTATACAGTTTGACAATTGTGTAATATTTCTTTACGAATCATTAATGAAAATTTTATATTCTCTAAGATCCTGATACAGGAAAATCTAGTTGATTGTATTCACAATGATGTTCATATTTTATGTAGTATATTGTACTGCGGTTGTTTATAATATACTGTTTAATTGATTATTGTAAGTTACAAGGTTAAGAAATTGTTGGGTTTCATTGAAATCATGAACCAACCAATGTTAGACCGTCATTCTATCGAGGATGCACACTTCTGAGGAATCCCATCCTAGGAAAAAATGACCATCCAGTTCTTCTAGGTTTTCAATAGTGGTTTAACATTGATGGTTTCACAATTTGTTTTTGTCAGTAAATACAAATATTGCTTCCGTGTTTTCTATGGTGGTCTAGCTTCAATTGACTCATGATTTCAACTACTGAAATTATTATAATATCCACAAATCAACATATGTTCACTAGTGACTTGCTTCAATAGGTAGATCCTGATGTTCTAGTGACGAGCAGTGACCAGTGGAGTTCGACCAGGTCTGTTGTGAGGTAGTAACTCACTGGTGACAATGGTGGATATGTCTCCCAATTTCGTAGATTAGTTGAAGCTAGACATTAACACCGTTGGTCTAGTGGTTAAGCGCTCCGCGAGCGAGAATGTTAGGTCCTGGGTTCGAATCTCGCGGGGGGAGGGGAAGGATCGTGGATGCGCACTGCTGAAGAGTCCCACAATAGGATGAAACGACCGTCCAGTGCTTCCAGGTTTTCCATGGTGGCCTAGCTTTAGTTGACTAGTGATCTCAACTACTAAAAATATTGTTTAGATTACTTAGAAATGAGGTTATAATTACTAATCAACATAGTGGATTGATTACTGAAAAAAAATCTTATTCTTGTGTGTAGTACAGTCTTTTAATGGTGAGCCATGTCAACGTCCATGTCCTAAGGACTATTTTAAATATATTCGTCATTAAATCCTATCTCGTAAATATTCAAAATTTATAAATATACCCTGATGTAGGGTAATTTTAGATTTGTTTTCAGGAGAGACAGACACCACCTAAGATTTTGTACTACAATCTAAATAGCACAGCTCAGTCCTGTGGTTAAGTTAGCCGTCTCACGTCGAGGTGGTACATTTTGTTTCTATCTTTGATGCGAAAGAATATTCCCAAATTTTTTGCTAAATTATTATATTCACTACATAGATTACTGCTCAAGTGAACAGTAGGCGGTTTACTTGATCGGTTTAGGGCATGAGTGGTTGCTGAATATATATCAGTACGGCTGAAGGTGAAGTGATTCCTGATTTTCTAGATAGTGCGAAATTCCTAATTATTAAAAATACACTCAATAGTCATGACATCTAGTTTTACAGTATGTTCATACTAACAAATTTCAAATATTGAACATAAAGATACTTAGGAATTATTAGGTATGAACGAGCGAACATTACTGTGAAGACGGTTAAACACTGTTATTCATAAATCTACATGGTTGCGACCCCTTAAGAGTTTACTTTAAACCTCATGAAAATTCAACCGGTATTACTGTTTTAGAAAGTATATGCTTTGAAAAATCATTGTTTTATTACTTATATATGGGTTTTTGAGACATGATGTTCGCTTTTAGATTCCTTTTACCAAATAAACTTACGGATTGATTCAAATCACTATCATAACAAATTCCAATAAAGATGAATATTCTTTTAGAAGTCAGCTGAAATTATGTTTTTAATTCTGTTCCTTTTTCTACTTTAACACCACTTCTATTAAGAATTTTATACTTCCAATTAACTTTTTATCACAGTGATGATTGTTTTAAATTTCATCAAGGTTAAAATTATTTTTACTTCATGTATTGACCGAAGACGATGATTACTTGAAACGTTTGTCAACAAAACCATTGCTAATACCGAAACTTTTATCATTAATTTCAAGTGAACATGAATTCTTGGTAAGTATTGTTATTGAACCGTTTTGGTTTACCGTTAAAAATGTTCAGTAAAATTGAAAGCAATTTAAATTTTATGTGAGTCAGATTCTGTGTATTCACATGAGATAATCTTCTACATTTTTATCCTTTAAACAAATGATGATAATATTAACCTCTGGAAAGATAAACTATTAGTTTTATGTGAAATATATTCTGTATCATTGAAGCGAATGAGCTTCTTAGCTTGTGGTCAGTCCTCGTTCGTAACTGATTAACATAATCGTCTTTATTATATACTGGTATCATTTGATAAATCAACGGAAAATAAGAAGTATTAGACATTTATTTTTAATTCCCAAGCTTTCGGTATTCATGATCTTACACGGAATCCAAGTATCTTTAGGAAGTGTGATTAGCACACTACCGTTATACTGCTAAGTGATCTATACGTATTGATCTCAGTCAATCAACGATATTGTGATCCTTACTCAATTTCATAGGTGAGTTACTGCATTAATTTAGTAACTAATTCTATCTATACCAATTTTAATCTAGACATTCCGGAAATTTATCTTCACATATTCATTTTTAAGTTGACCTATAGTGAGAATATGATTATTATTTATTTAGATGATTTTATTTAGGCTTTGTATGATTTGTAGGTTTTCATATCAGTTCGTTGTGGATTATTTTTTCATTATTTCTTGGCGGCCTGCTTGAATATCTGGTCTGACTGTTACTGCCATTTAGATATTTCAACAAGTTATCTGTTTTTGTTTGTTTTAACACATCATTATGTCTATTAATTGCATAACCTACGAAAAGTTTACAATTTTTCTCTGTACAAGTTACGAAAAAGTATAGTCAGAGACATCATGGTGGCTGGATATATACATTAAATAGAATGAACATCATTCAGATGTTTATTCTCGAAACACTAACTTCTAACTGGCGATCACTCAATATTTATCATCAGTATCGACCAAGATGTGTGAAAAGGAAACTTGTTGAAATACCTTGTTCTGAGAATTCTGTATTGCATCAAAAATATAATATTGAATAGTGCCATTAATAATAATAAAATGGGTTTCAAATATAAACGAAACTTTTGACTATTTCTTTACGATTTGTAATGATACCTACAATTGATGTCAGTCATTGATAATCGATACCTTAAAAGTTTCCTAAAAAATTCTGATAAGATTACTGAAATAGTTTATCAGTATTTTTTTAAAGTAACTGTATCGTTCATATATGCTATTTGCATTCTTACTGATCATATTGTTTAATGATTATTTGCTATTAATTACTAAGATAAAATTTTAGTAAATAAAAGTACACTAGTTTTTAAAATGCTTGCTTACTACTACTAATACTACTTACTTAAACACATAAACATTGGCACAAGAAGGCACCAAATAGATATGTGCCACATAAATCATTCGATTTATGTGAGGGCTGGGATACTGCCCGGGTGCCCAAACCGAAGCAGATGGTTTTCTTAGGGGACCACACCTCGAGCCTTTGACCTAAGTGTCTAATCCACAAGGCAGTGGAGAAACGTAAGGAGATGCAGTCCCGTGTTAACCGATGACCAACAATTGGTTCATACGCCATTTGTACATCATTGGTTTGGAATCAAGGTTTTCCAACTTCCCTAGGTGGATCCTCCGTATCTTATTATACCTATTCTATTTTGTATCGTTTTGATACAGCTCTGTTTTTAATTGATTTTAAATCATTTTTTTATCGCATGCTTTTTATATAATAACAGAAACCGCTAGAAAGAACTAAAATTGATGAAGAGAATCTTTTGAAAATTCTCAAAATAATTGATTATTTTGCATTCGTTCAACCAAATGAAATGAATGGAATTATTGAAAATTTAACTTCTCTTTCAACATACATTATATTATGTTTAGAAAAATTAACAAAAATATCAAAATGTCAACGAATTCTTCGTAATCATAACGGGATACCAATTTTATTGAATTATTTAAGGTAGATTATAGCTTTATACAAAGAAACAGTATTTCATTTCTTATCATTATATGTACGAGATTCCAGATTGGTAGAACATCAATGTACATTCTCTCACTTTGATAAACTAGGTTACCGTATCACAGAGTTGGAAAATTATTAGAAGATAAATTGTATCAAAATTAATAAAATATACGCAAAGAATGAATGAACGTTCGATATTTAAAGCAAGAGAAGCAGTAATTACATACTTGCCAATTGAATCGATTTTAATTAATTATCTACGGTAACCAGGCAAAGGTTATTTTCATGTTTAAATATTTGAATAAATAAATTTCAGTCAGTAACGTCATGGATTCTCAATAAGTTTTTAGTTTGCTTTTCTCAAATTTACGTAGCAGGCGTTATTACGTGATATATAACTCATATTCTAGCCGTACCAATGTGTCCCGGGTTCTAACTCAATATATTTTAATTGAATAGTGTTCGTTGGTTCTCGTCAGCTGCTTACAACCTGTGATATTTAAAATCATAATTAATGGGTTAAAATTACTTACATAAAAGAGTTTGATTGGAAGTTATATTAAAGACATATTCATATAGTATAACAAGGGTGTAAATAAATTTAATAGACTGAATATTGTAAATATATACCTTATGTGATGAAAGAACCAACGAAATAAAAATGAATTCATGCTATTCTGCTAGAATGTTTGTTCTTGCTCTTTTCAAAATGATAAAGGGAACTATGTGTATGAATAGTGTTCGTAGAATTGACAATTAGGTCTTTTCCTAACTTTATATGTATTCCTCATACCTTTTAATCATTGAACAAGTCATGGCTTCTTTTATTTTGATGATCTGCACCATAATGTTCAATAGAAAAGTCCATTCAAGGGTTATAATTCACCTTCCATTATGTATGTGATCGTCTGAATCTGATAACGTTCAAATCAAAGTTGAAAGTGAATACGCTGCATCTTCCGTTTATACGCAAATATTAAACGTGAGAATTTGTTTAAGGTGGTTTTATTGAGCTGTCAGGTAATCTTGAATTTAGGTTTCGTGTTAGCTGATACTCGTCAGTGAGGTGCAACTGCAGTCTTGAGGGAACTAATACTTATTTTGTAATTCAAAATCGCGCTGTCCGGTTCCTCAGTCTGAGATGCTATCAACGACCGACTGTTGAGTAAACACCAGCGTCATATTTATCGGGTGATTTACTACTGATAAATACCCACCAATCAATTTGCAATGTATCCACTAGTCTATTTGAATCAAGATTACATTCACATTTTCGAGATGTTAAGTGGTTTCAGGTACTTCCCGCTGACGATTAAGAGCGTCAAGAGATTCCTACTGCCTGCCTCTAATCACTTAATACCTCAACATAGTGTTGGCTATATCAATTCACTTTGCGCTATTGGTCACATTTTAATTTGATCGATAGACATCAGCTAGCATGAAGAACTAAAAAACATCACAGTGGTTACTAGTCAGTGATTATGTAATTATAAATACGAGATATTATGTGTACAGGAGTTAACTGTTTATTTTGACAACGAAGCATAAATTATTTACTTTTCTTCTCCCACTCAGTAATCAGGTAAAATAGTTCATGCACTCGGTTATGAATTAATCCTTTTTGTATGAGGTTTAGTAATACTTAGTAAGCTATCAGAACCATAGTAGATAATGTAAGATTTATGCCCGGAATCTAGTAGTTGAGAGTGATTTGTATCTATTAATAAGTTATCGATCCGTTTTATAGTGCTACTTATCGGTCATATTTGACGTGGAATATTTATGTTTTCAAATCAATAAGGTGAATATAATAACAGTAACATCGACCATAAAGCCCGGTTTTCAGTTTGATTTTACGCTATTTCCAATTATTGGATTTACATAATCCGCGTATTTTGCACGAAATGTACAAAGTGTTTTGTTTTTACAGTATGCCATTTTCATCCTACAGAAGAACTGTCATGATTTTAAATCGTTAGTCGTAACCAACATTTAATCACTTTTGATTCTCCACATGTTTATTTTAAATCCTCAGGTTACTTAGTCAGCAATCTAAGAACTGACCACCAAAATAGTTTCCGTTTCAAACTGTGTAACTTTTCTGAATTCTATGCAAATATTTCATTAATATCATTGGTGTTTATTCGATTATTGGGTTTAAGTTGAACAAAATAAAACAAACTGTGTATTGAATTCCCGTCGCCTTATTATTTATACTTGGAAAAGAGAAACCATTACAATTCCGACAACGGAAAGTAAAAATACAAAGAGTGGTACACGTGAAAACGTACTAATTTCAAAACACGGCGATACCAGCCGAAAATACACTCAGTTATATATTGATTTGTGGACCCACTTGATTATTCATTAACAAAACATCACATATATGTAAAATGCCTAGATTTATAATAAAACCACATACTGCATGTCATGTTAAACATTGTTCACGCTGTACTATTACAAAGAATGTTATATCGTGAATAAACGTCATACTAAAAGTGAAACCAATCTTATGCTCAGCTGATCATTACACTAAAAATAAAAATATTATTCTGAGCAGTTACCACACTAACTTTAAAAAAGAAAGTAATATTTAGCAAATACATACTTACTTATGCCTGTTACCCCTGGTGGAGGAGCATAGGCAGATAAATATTTAGCAACGATCATAGTGAATTAAAAAACCATAATCTAGCCTTTTTATCCCATAATATCGATATGTTAATCATTTGTTCGATGTCAGCGTTTAACTTCATTTTTCAAGGGTATTTGTGGCTAAGACACATGACAATTAGTAATTTACCAATTATATTATTTTGGTAAAACAGTTTCATCTGTAATTCCTTAGGAAAATTTTTAAAATATCTCAAATGAAATTTTGGTAAAATATGATATTTACTCATGATAAAGTTGGTATAAAAAATATTCCAATAAATTTCAGAGTATGTTTGCAGTTCGAATCCAATTTAAACAATCCTAGAAGCATAAGAGAACTGTCTAATTGTTCAGTCTATGTGAACTCGTCGACAAATGCCGTAAACACTTCGGAAGAATGTCCCTGTGAAACAAAATTGGTGAGCTAACTTTTATAGCTTGAATTGGAAGTTATGAATAAATTATCTGATTTCAAATAAATACATTTCTCAATCCTTTGTTGGTTTACATGGATATAATGACAATTAAATTTTTATTTAGATAATAAGTCTTTAAAATTTTATATAAATTGACATCATTAACTATTTAGCCAAAGATATTTAGAATGAGATAGTTATCACTGTGGAGAAGGAACTACTATGGAGAGCAACTGGAAGGGGATCAAAGAGGCAATCACTTCAACATACCATTAGGTTCTGGGCCACAAGAAGCATCATCACAAAGAATGGATCACTGTTGATACACTGGATAAGATTCAAGAAAGGAGGAACAAGAAAGCAGCAATCAGTACCAGTCGAACAAGAGCAGAAAAAGCCAAGGCACAAGCTGAATACACAGAAGTAAAGAAGCAAGTGAAGAGGAGCATCAGGACTGACAAACGTAAGTACGTGGAAGATTTAGCAATGAGGGCGGAAAAGGCTCCAAGAGAAGGAAACATGAGAGAAATGTATGATATAACAAAAGAAACTCTATGGAAATCACCGTAAACCAGAACGACCAGTGAAAGGCAAGTAGGGCAAGGTAATCACCAACATTGAAGAACAACGAAACGGGTGGGTAGAACACTTCAAAGAACTCTTGACTCGACCAGCCCTACTGAACCCACTCAACATCAAAGCAGCACCCACGGACCTCCCACTCAATGTTGGCCCACGAACAATTGAAGAAATCAGGATGGCCTTCAGACAAATCAAGAGTGGGAAAGCAAAAGAACCAGACAACATTCCAGCAGAGGCAATAAAATCAGACGTAGCGGTAACTGCAAGAATACTCCACATTCTCTTCAATAATATTTGGGATGAAGAACAAGTACCAACAGACTGGAAAGAAGGACTTCTGATCAAAATACCGAAGAAAGGCGATCTCAGCAGGTGTGATGACCACAGGGGCATCACTCTTCTCTCAATACCGGGAAAAGTCTTCAACAGGGTATTGCTAAACAGGATGAAGGACTGCATAGACACCCAACTTCTCTACCAACATGCAGGATTCTGTAAGGATAGATCGTGTACAGACCAAATCGCAACTCTACGGATCATTGTGGAACTTTCAGTTGAATGCATTTCATCACTCTACATCAACTTCATTGACTACGAAAAAGAATTTGATAGCGTGGACAGGACAACACTGTGGAGGCTTCTTTAACACTACGGCGTGCCTCTGAAGATAGTCAATATCTTATGATGGATTAAACTGCAAAACCGTCCATGGAGGACAGTTGACAAAGTCGATCGAAGTAAAGACCGGTGTCAGGCAAGTTTGCTTACTCTCACCCTTTCTCTTTCTCCTGGTGATCGACTGGATCATGAAGACATCAACATTTGAAGGGAAACACGGGATACAATGGACATCTAGGATGCAGGTGGACGATCTAGACTTTGCAGATGACCTGGCCCTTCTATTCCAAACGCAACAACAAATGCAGGGGAAGACGACCAGTGTATCAGCAGCCTCAGTAGCAGTAGATCTCAATATACACAAAGGGAAAAGCAAGGTTCTCTGATACAACACAGCATGCACCAATCGAATCACAATTGACGGAGAAGATTTGGAAGATGTATAAACCATTACATATCTGGGCAGCATCATTGGTGAACATGGTGGGTGTGATGCAGACGTGAAGGCGCGGATCGGCAAAGCAAGAGCAGCATATTTACAATTGAGGAACATCTGGAACTCAAAGCAACTGTCAACCAACACCAATGTCAGGATTTTTAATGCAAATGTCAAGACAGTTCTACTGTATGGGGCGGAAACCCGGAGAACTACGAAAGCCATGATCCAGAAAATATAGGTGTTTATTAACAGTTGTCTACGTAAAATACTTCGGATTTGTTGGCCGGACACTATTAGCAGCAACCAGCTGTGGGAGAGAACAAACCAGATCTCAGTGGAGGAAGTAATTAGGATGAAGCGATGGAAGTGGATAGGACACAATGAGGAAAGCACCCAACTGCGTCACAAGACAAGCCCTCAATTAGAATCCTCAAAGCCAAAGGAAAAGGGGGAAGATCAAAGAACACGTTACGCTGGGAAATGAAGATAGGCATGAACAAAAATTGGATGGAACTAAAAAAGAAGGCCCAGGACAGAGTGAGTTGGAGAATGCTGGTCGGCTGCCTATGCTCCACTGGGAGTAACAGGCGTAAGTATGTTATCAGTGTTGACAATAGATAATAGTCGTTCTATGGATGGACTAAAGAACTCCTTTTCAATTGTCTAAGTGTGGGATGCTTGCTGTGAAAATATAGGGTTTTGGTTTCAATCTTATGTGGGTTTTAGGTAGGCTCTCCTGAAGAATCCCGTCGTAGGATAAACCATCTGACGTATATTTACTGTTTTTCGATGATTCTTTTGCTAATTTCGATTTACAGTGAGAAATGGATTCAGAATTAATGTTGGTTTAAATAAATTATAGAATATCTAAATAAATTACTAATACACTGCTTTTTCTGTGTAATTTGATCATCAAGCTATATTTACTTAGTAGTTCGTTAGTGAATTTAATCATTCAAGGATATCTATGTGGTGCTTATGATTCTAACATATCATTCAGGATATTTATTTTGAAGTTCCAGCGTACACTGAACAAATGAACTTTTGAAAAATTTTACAGCAAGCTAGACTACTGTAATAAGTATTACGTTTGAATCTTTACCGAATAATATTATTTAAGAAAACTTTCGGTCGAAATATACAGTTTTTCCAATAAAAGAGGTCAATCATTTGCGGGTGAGACCGAAGGTCCTTGGTTCAATTACCAATTGCATGGTCGTGGATCCGTATTACTGAAGAGTCCCATACTAGAACAAAACGGTCGTTCACTTCTTCCAGGTTATCAATGCTTATCTTACTTAGATTGGTTTGTGATTTTAATAAAACTCAACAATCTTCACAATATCATACTGAAATAAATTTTGTTATTTGATCTCTTATTGATTTTTCTCAAGGTACATGATTTTGACCAAGATACCATACGGCGTAATACATGTAAGTTCCCATTTAGAGAAATTTAACTTCTTTATTAAGTGCTTCTTTAAATAATCAACACAATCTGATTTCTCCACTTTTATAGTAAATTAAACAAAATTTCATAGATTGACGAGGGTTAGTTATTTCAAAGTAAAGTAAGATTAACTTTTCGGAATCGCTCGTAGTAAAGAATATCTACAGTCTACATAGGCGTTTATTTTGTGATATTTTTATCTTATTTAATTCTAATCAATCACTAAATGTAAATACAGAAAGTTTTTCTTTATCATGTCATAATTATGACAATGTTGTGATTGTTAGCTTTGATGGTAATTAAAATAAACCATAGTGTCATTGAATAAGAAAAAGAGAATTCAGCGAAGAAAATTTTCTTTTCGACGGAATCATTTACTTAAGCTGAACATTTGTATATATAGTTGTATGGAAAATATATGTCTTTAGGAGGATAGAAAAGATTGCATCATAAAATGGATTCGAGACTAAATAACAATTATTACCTTGATTATTATTCAGTTTATTATCATGACTTTTAATTTGTCGTTTTTCTTCGAATCTGTCAATTGGACTATAAAATAAGAAAGATTAGTTCAGCGAAGTGTTCTCTTTTCGGCGAATTCATTTTCAAAGCTGTACAATCGCAAATATATATACTTATTTTTACAGGATGACAATAATACTGATAATAAACTTCAGTTAGACATGGTGACAGTGAGGTTAAATAAACAAAGGTATTAAAATAAAGATTTTAAAAAAGAGGAAAGTTTAATAATTGTTTGATTGTTAATGGCTTAAGTGTTCATCAAAAGATAGGTAGGGAAATTATCATTGGGAAAGGATGGCTCAGCATGATAAAATAAAATGTTGAAACAGAGATTAAATGCAATCGGGATGATCGTGAACACAGGTCATTCAATCAAGACAGACTCTGCGTTCAAAGTCATCTACAAGGTAAGTAGAAGTCTTCCTAAGACAATTAGACTTCATCTTCTCTGCATTGTCGAAGCAATAGCCATACATCTGGAAAAACCAGAATTGTGTGTTCAAAAGAGACTGTTACAACCTCTTCTTCTACCATGGTCTTAATGCATTAAATTTTTTCTCTTTTTCATACTCTTGTTCCTTTACAGCCATTTGCTTCACCTCCCGTCTTCCCTTTAAATCTTCTACCCTCAACTGGTTTGTTTTAATTTCCACGATCATTCCGATTACATTTCATCTCTGTTTCAACATTTTATTTTATCATGCTGAGCCATCCTTACCTGATGAATACTTAAGCCATTAACAATCAAACAATTATTAAACTTTCCTTGTTTTTAAAATCTTTATTTTAATACCTTTGTTTATTTAACCTCACTGTCACCATGTCTAACTGAAGTTTATTATCATTATTATTATCATCCTGTAAAAATAAGTATATATATTTGCGATTGTACAGCTTTGAAAATGAATTCGCCGTAAAGAGAACACTTCGCTGAACTAATCTTTCTTATTTAATGTCTTAATGAGTGTATTCCGTTTATTAAAAGATTGGACTATTAACTAACCCATAAATTATTTTCTTCCTTTCCCCTTGATTAGTAAATAACCTCATATTATTATTATTAGCTTTATTCAATATTATATTATTGTTACAATATAGAATTCTCAGCACAAAGTGTTTCAACAAGTTTCCGTTTCTTTCTTCTTGGTCGGTCCTGGCGATAAATATTGAGTGATCGCCAGTTAGATGTTAGCAGTCCAGTAAATGAACATCTGAATAATGTGCATTCTTTTCGTTGTATATTGCCAGCAACCATATTCTCTCTTTTTGAGCTTTTTGTAACTTTGACAACGAAAGGTTGTACACTTTTCAGAAACGCAGCAGAATAGGTTATGCGATTGATAGACATAATGATACATTAAAACAAACAAAAATAAATAACTTGTTGAAATATCTAGATGACAGGAACGGGTAGCCCAGATGCTTAAGCAGGCCGCCTTATGTTATTTATTTTCGAATCCATTTTTTGTGATGCAATTTTTTCTATCCTTTTATAAACATATATTTTCCAGATAACTATATATACGAATATACAGCTTAAGTAAATGATTTCGTCGAAGAGAAAATTTTCTTTGATGGTAAATAAATACATCTTGGTACTATTTGACGTATTGCTATGCGATTGAATACAGTCAATAGATTGTTTGTTTAGAATAGTTGATGAAAAAACTCATATTAGATCTTACTTAAACGAGATTTACTAAGCAACATTCATGTTAAATGTAAATTATGACCAATTTATGAGAATATATAATATAAATATTATATAGAAAGTTTCCACGTCTGTTGTTAGCTTAACAATAAATAATACTTGATTTTCGGTTATATATTTTACTTCTTCTTCTTCTTCTTCATAAAGCTATATGTGGAATATTGTCTCAATTGGCAATGAATGATTTTTATGCTCAAATTATTGCACGTGAAAATGGTATACATTTGATTGGTTCACAATTATGCATTAAGTATTCAAAAAATGTTAAAAACCAATGTTTAACAGTTGAGTCAGAATTGAAACAAACTAATAATGTTGAAAATCAACAGATAATTGATACAAATAAATTTGGATTAGGAAATATTCGTCATTTATACGTAAGTTATTTATTTTCAATTTTAAACATCAAATTATTCTTTATCTTACAATGGCTTTGTGTAGAAAATTCAACTAGTCAGTCAATCATTGACAACGTAGAACTTCGTACGTACGTACGTACATCAGTTCGAGTTTCCATATCACATTAGCACACAGATACAATTGTTGATTCAAATCCTATGGTGGTAGAGGTAGTAAAAGTATAAGCAGTAATCGGAAACATTAGGGTTTGAATATGTTATTCAAGGAGTATAATCCAGTGAAATAAATTTGAAAAGAGAAAAAATAAGGGACATGAAGAATTCAGAAGATTAGAATTTGAGAGAACACAAAGAGTGGATGCACCTGCGCGATTGCGAACGATTTTAAGCCATGTCAATCAAGGTCTCTAACCATCGTTTGCTATCATCTCGCGGATCCCAACCAGATAGTCTACACCTGCCAACATGGTTCAGTCCGCATGTCAATGACTTCATGGATTTGTGCCATGTTTTGGTCTGGCGGAGTGATTACATTTATACGATAATATATTTTTTGTACATAAAACGAATATGCCAAAGTTAGAATTGTTTACTATTGGGTTTTAAAATATCGATTCAAAGCAATTGTGTTTAGTAACAAAGAAATTTCTAGTTTGGTATCACAATTGATTATTTGGTTTTCATACTTAAAGAATCCTAGACTAGAACAAAAAAGATATTTTTTGCCTTTTAGGGATTTTTTTGACGTTCTATTCGATGTAAAACTGTAGAGATATTTTGTAAATTTGAATTTGCTTTAATGTAAATCTCTTCAAGAGAACCATCTTCAGTTTCTATCATATACGAAGAAGATATTGTTTATTAACTTTGGAGTCTTTTAGTTTACACGTTGTTTCACCTTATTTCCAAGCATATTATACATGTGTTTATAGATGGGTGTGTTTTTTCACAATCAGTCTTCTGTGGTCTCCGACGTTTGTCGTTTATGTAAGATTTGTCTTTTGAAGTAACTAAGGTTGAAAGAAATGGGAGTTGTCATATCTAGGTATCGAAAGTGAAGTAATAGTTTATGGCCGTTAGTTGTATATATATATCCATTTAATTGAAACGTATCTCATATTTAACAATTACTAAAACCTTATTAACTTTACATAATAATCTTATGATTATATTGTATTCATTGTTGTGTTCTGTATTTTTGTATCACTTATCACATTTGTATACAAGGCAAATGCATTTTGTGCATTACGTAGACTATTTGTATCTGAACATAATCGCCGTTTAATCAAATCATTTTTACCATCATCCTTATTATCGGAATTAATCGAAATCACCATCAACACATCAACAGTTACAAATGATTATCAAAAATTAGTCAATCTACTTGAATCATTGAATGTAAGTCACTAAAAAAAATCATGAATTTTGTTTTATAACATTGTCTATTGAAAATAGTCAATGGTTCAATTTGATTGTTTTATGGAATATTTGACAGATTTAGTTTCATAGACCTAGTTTCTGTTTCGTATCTTGAAGAGAGCTAAAACAAGGAATTAGGCACAGTGATATAAATTCATTTTGTTACGTAAAATTCTCGTCAGATACTTACAACCAGTAATATTTACTAATCAAATTTACAAAATAGGTTAATTGTGACTACACAATTGATGTTCATTGAACATTGCTGTGAAAACATACCGGGATAGTATAACAAAGATACAAGTAAATTAAGAGACTAAATAAAAATATTGTTAATGTATATATGCGTCATAATGTTCTATAACATTGACAACAACAAAAGACAAACGAACTAGAGATAAGTGAATAAATAATAAACAAAAGCTAACAAACAAAAATGGAATGCGTAAAACGTAGTTCAAAATGTAATTATTGTCACAATTGATTGATCACTGGGTGGTGATCATTGTCATGCTTGTCTAGTCCCTATTAGTGCAGATCGAGTGCTATCGATCATGTTGCAATGTGGCCATCAGTCTAGGTGACTCGACACTGTGGGCACTATATATTGAGATTTAGATGGTGGTTGGAGGTAGTCAGCAGGAAACCCTGGACCCGGGTTTCGTGCTACTTGGCACTCGTCAGCAAGGTGACCTGTAATCTTGAGGGAACTGGTGCTCCCTGGCGGATTCGATCTCGTGTCACCCAGCTTCACAGTCAGAGACGTTACCACTGAGCTATCCGAGCCGTGATTACAGGTACACCTTGCTGACGAGTGCCAAGTAGCACGAAACCCGGGTCCAGGGTTTCCTGCTGACTACCTCCAACCACCATCTAAATCTCAATATATAGTGCCCACAGTGTCGAGTCACCTAGACTGATGGCCACATTGCAACATGATCGATAGCACTCGATCTGCACTAATAGGGACTAGACAAGCATGACAATGATCACCACCCAGTGATCAGTCAATTGTGATTACATCTCAGTCCTACAGGAGGTCAGTCGCGACTCGGATAGCTCAGTGGTAACGTCTCAGACTGTGAAGCTGGGTGACACAAAATCGAATCCGCCAGGGAACACCAGTTCCCTCAAGATTACAGGTCACCTTGCTGACGAGTGCCAAGTAGCACGAAACCCGGGTTCAGTAATTATTGTACCTAAAAGGTAGTTGAAAAGTATAGCGATAATGTAAACAATGGAGACAGGGAGTTAAAAGAATTTTATGATGTAACGAAATAGATCCCTTTTTTCCAAATCAGAGAAATTTTAAGGACTGTTTTCTTCTAGACACAGAAATTCGATATTGATGGCCTAAGAGCAACAGTTTCAAGAATCTACGAGAAGATGGAGGTTATCTTTTTATTATCAACTTTGAATGATCTAAATATATCGACTCGGAGGTTTGTGTCCAAGGTCTGTGTAGAAATTAAGTTGTTCTGCCTTTTGACCTGAGGTTATACGAAGATTTTCAAAAAATCTAGGATAAGCCCTCCTTTTTGTCTGAATGATGTAACCGCATTGAGAGGGATATATAAATTTATAGACATAGGTAAAGGTAACATGAAAAAAAGTACTTGTCAACCTTTTCTTGAGTTATTGAACATATTGTATGCAAAACTTGTAGTTTGGCTCCAGATTCCTTTCTGTCTAATACGGTGTTAAGCCTTTTACTGATTGTCCTTGGAACGTCATCATCTTTAACGATGGGGAGGATAAAGTTTGGTTTTTTATTGACTACACTTACATTCAACTTGTTGTCTTTTCATCCGATTTCGTTTAACAACTATTTCAGCAAAAACATTACCTACAATTATGTAACAGTCTAGCATATCATATAATTAATTTGTAATTTATCTTTGGAACTGTATTTCACAGATCTTTAGGTGATAACAGATAACCGTCAATGAATTATTCATCCTGATTATATATATAGAGATTATTTTTTAAAAATTAAACTTCAAAATGCTCATATTTTTAAACAGGATCGAATATCCATTATATCAATCATTCATTTTCAGTTTTTATACTAAAACAATTCAGTAATTTTATAACCTAAAGTTTTAATTTTTCTAAATTCTCACCTTATCTACGAAAATTAAGAATCCTGAGATAAATTATTAAGTTACGTAACAGGTCGTTGTATTCTAGATAAAGAATATAAATGGATGCGCACTGCTGAGGAGTCCCATACTAGGACGAAACGGCCGTCCAGTGCATCCAGGTTTTCCATGGTGGTCTAGGTTCAATTGACTCATGATTTCGATCATAAATGAAAATGGTTTGTTAATTCAATATTTAATTTAATGTGGCGTCATTCACTCATGTTTGTATAGTAAAATAAACGTAGTTTCATTTTTGTATTGATTACTTTTTTTTCACTTTTGTGCTATAGAATGAAGAATATAATGAACTTATTGAAGGTATAATTTCTTGTGACGTAAATCGAATACCTATTCATTATGTACGTGAATATTCAATATTGGAATTACTTGGAACTGGTGCATATGGTAAAGTTTTTAAAGCAACGAAAGATAAAATGTGTCATAATAGTTATGCAATTAAAAAGGTAATTTTCACTGAATTGTATAATGAAGATATTCGTTAACTTAACTAACTTATATATATAACAGCTGAAATAATCAAGTCATCGTTAAGTAAATTGGCGAATAAATCAAAAGATAAACACAACCTGAAACAACCATTTCATTGTTAATTCAAGAGCAATGTTCCTAGAGTCAACTCTAAGTCTTTACTGACTATTCTCGTCTAGCCCTGTCTGTTTGAGTATAGAGCACAATCTCGGCTTTCATTGCATAAATCATGTATTTCAGATATAAGTAGCTTGTATACAAACCAATCAGACCGCGTCATTCAATAAAATAGAAAATAACAATTACACAAGATCAAGCCAAAAGCGGCTGTGACTGTAAGAGACTGTAACTAATAAATTGGGAATAACTTAAAATTAGTAAGTTGTATGATAGTAGTCAATAGGTTAAATGAAACCCTATAATAAAAGGAATGTGAATATACATATAATATAGTTACTTAATAGTTATCCAATAAAAATATATGTAATAATAGTCCATAAATAATTCCTAGTATTTACCACATATTTATTCTTCGTTAGGAAATAACAAAGTATAACTTTATTTAGTTAAGAACTAATAATATGAAACTTCAATAATGAATTCATTTTCTAGATGTTATGATATTCGTTATTTTTAAAAACTAACTGAAATCAAGAATGGAATGAACTGGTGATATTCGAGTGACTGTTTTTCATATCAAAGAACATATTATTTGTAACTGTTTACATTTTACCACTGCTGACATTAACGAGGCTTTTGAAGCGAAATATAGCCTTTTCGAGTCTTAGTATGAATATAAGCATTCGAGTGCAGGTACATACAGCTGCTGGTCACTATCAAGATAAAAAGTGTGAATATTAGTATTTTAGCTTATCTATAGCGATTGTAAGTTATTTCTTTTAAAGGAGTTATGTACTAATAAAGAATTTCTAAATATTAGTTTATTGAATAATTGATTTTATCTTCTTTTATTATTAAATTATTTATTATGTTTCGATAGACTTTAATAAAGAGGTAACTGAGAGGATCACTGTGAATTTTTTTTCTAGTTTTATGGATTCATTTAGTCTGTAGTGTCGGTTATTATGTTAAGCCCATATACCTTATTCTAGCTTTCGGACAGCTCATTCTATTTATTCTACTTGAGTCACATTTTGACCTTGTTAATTATTCGCTTATCAATCTTGACTGTTTTTATATGAGCGCATAGGTGTGTGTACATTTCTTATCCCATTACCCATCACATGTTTGTAACTTACTTTTGTGTAACTATAAATATTGATTAAAGCTTGGTTAAAGGGGAGTTGGCTTACCAGCCATATCAACTCTGCGTCCTTTCTCTTTCTATTCCATTCGCTTTATATAAAAAATTTATGTATTCACAAGTGCATTCTCGTTATTTGACTTATTTAATTCCGTTATTGACTAACACGATTTAAGTCAATGATTATATACGAGGATAGGCGATATATATATTTCAACAACAATCATCATTACAATCATCTTGGAGTCAGATCCACGGGCCACTAAAAGTCTATGTGAAATTGATGAAAATTTTATAAACAAAAGTAATTTGTATTTTTCTTGCTATCAATAATATGTGTTGATAGTAAAGATCAAGAGAACTTTATTCATAATTTATATCAGTTTATTTTCTAATTAATCTGTATTCATAGGTTAGTACTAGTCAAATATTTTTTGGTCGAACTTCCAATGAACGTCAAAAATGTATTGATCGTATATTGAATGAGGTCAATGTTATACGTCAACAACTAAGGCATCCAAATATTGTTCGTTATTATAAAACATTTTTAGATTGTAAGTTTTTTACTTATGTGAAATCACTAATTCAAACCTATTTTCATTCCCCTTTTAATAATACATGAGATTTATTATTGGGATATCTTGAGTGTAGTCCATTTTGAAAAACACTTCCCTAGTTTTCGATGTTCGCTTGAGATTGAATCTGCACCCGATAATATTACTACAGAAATACTTATTAAGGGGACTAACCATTTTCAGTAATATAAAATTTTGAGTTGGTTGCGTCATCGACTGGTTTTGTTTGGTAAACTTTTGAAAACTAGGAAATACCAGATACCTCAGCTGTCATAGTTCGAGACCAAACAAAGAATAGTAGTAATAGTGATTGTTAGTAATGATCATCATATCCATCAATGTGTGTTAACTGTATACATTTATAGTGTGATTGAATCTTATGGTAAATAGCAGTACTTAAGATTAAATCGGAAGTGAGTACTTTTCATCACCCTGAAAATTTGTTTTTGATAAAATTATTGGGTGAATAGTTTCTGTTATTCATTGACCATCTAAAGGAATGATTTAGTCATTAAGAAAAGCGGCTAATTTTCTATGATCAGATTTTGTTCAACATTTCCCCTTTTTATCAGAAAGGGTTTTTGTGGATATTATAGTAATTTCAATGGTTGACATCATGAGCCCTATTGTGGGATGAAACGGCCGTCCAGTGCTTCCAGATTTTCTATGGTGGTCTAGCTTCAACTGACTCATGATCTCAACTATTGAAAATTCCCCTTTTTAATAAAACATGCTAATTATTTAAATTGTTGTATAATTCTTTTGACTGATATATGCGATATTCGAATTCAGTTCATATCGTCTTCAATTCATTTGGGATATAATTTATTACACTGGTTGAAATCATGAGTCAATTGAAGCTAGACCACCATTGGAAAACCTGGATGCGCCGGACGGTAGTTTCGTCCTAGCATAGGACTCCCCAGCAATGAGCATCCACAATCCCGTGCCGTGAGATTCAAACCCAGAACCTATCAGTATCGTGTGCAAGCGCTTAACCTCCAAACCACTGAGTCGGCTTCGAGAGGTATTTCCTGGAGTTCTAGTGAGAAGCAGTGACCACTGGAGTTCAACCGGGTCTGTTGTGAGTAAGTAACTCACTAAAAAACAATGGTGGATATGTCGCTCAAGTTCGTGGATTGGTTGAAGTTAAACATTAACACCGTTGGATGCCGGCTCAGTGATCGAGAGGTTAAGCGTTCACGCGCGAGACTGATAGGTCCCAGGTTTGAATCTCGCGAGATGGGATCGTGGATGCGCACTGCTACGGAGAAGTCCTACAATAGGAAGAAACGGCCTTTCAGTGTTTCCAGCTTTTCCATGGTGGTCTAGCTTCAACCTACTCATGAATTCAACTATAAACTTACTAAAATCTCCACAAAACTCCTTCTGATAAAATTTACTTGTGTTTTAAGTATTTCAACTTACATTTAGATTTTAAATTATTCACAGTAGAGATGATCTTAATCTCACAGTTTGAGGGAAGACAGAGAGTGTATACACCTACTCTGCTGTGATCGATTCTGAGCCATATCACCCTGAGTCTCCAACCATTGGTTACGATAGTCATGCGGACCCCAATCAAGTGGTCTGCCTCTACCAACATGACTCAAACTAGAATTTAGTAACTTCAAGCACTGATGCCGCGTTTCGGTTTCGCCGCCCCTCACTTTCTTCCAACCATCCCCAACACTAATCAGCATTGCGCATCGTAGCGATCGGTGTAATATGTGACCCAACCATCTCAGTCCATGAAGATATACAGCCTCATCAATTGATTTACCATCATTCCCTAATATTCTGCGTCTAACCTCACTATTACTTACCCGGTGATCCCAGCAGATGCCAGCAATACTTCTAAGGCATCTGTAGTCAAATACTAGTAGCTTACGAGCATCTTCTACTCTTAATAAATAATAAACTTGAAATAATCTTCAAAATATCTTTAGTTTCAACCGTCTTATTTAACGGTGACTTGTACAAATGAAAAGTAATCAAACATTACATTAATTAATCACTTAATATTCGCTTACTTTTTTCTTGGCTTCTACAGCTGATCATTTATACATTGTGATGGAATTATTGGATGGCGTTTCGCTGACAGAGTTACTTATATCTTTTAAAGAGAAGAATATACATTTCAGTGAATCACAAATCTGGAATATGTTTATTCAGTTAATATTAGGTTTACGTTATTTACATAAAGAGAAGAAAATACTGCATAGAGACTTATCATCAAATAATATAATGATTAGTGAAGGTAACAAGGTGAGTAATGTACTAGTTCATTCTACTAAACCATTGTTATTTTAAAAGCAGTCTTCATTATGAGATGAAATTATAGCTGTAGACTGATAATAATCAATAATCACTAGAAAATAATATGCAAAGAACCCAGCTTAATAAATAATAATCATGCACCTATAAGGGATTATCGTCCAGATGAATTTCTTGAAATCTTAGTTGATGTGCGACGTTAAACCAACTCGGAAGAAAGGCAATAGTCACTCGCTGATGGTGACATTAGATTGAGCAAAATGACAATAGAAAAAAGTCAATTTTGACTCAGTGATTCCACGGTATATTGATGAACATGAAACGTAAGAGATTTGAGTGCATCTCAGTTATGATGGGCGCTGTCCGAAATCTGAGTGATATATAGCATGGTATTCGCTAACCCTCCAAACAGACCGCTTGAGCGAGAAGGCAAGAATGGGACGGAAAATCTACTGATCTACCGAATAATATACATAAATACTCATATATATATTCCTTATAAGCTGAATCCATTTCTTAGTCAATTGATATGTGGTTATCCTCCACGTCATTTTTGATTGTCATCATGTGGCCTAATTTAGTTAGTTCTGGTTGGCTCACTATCTAACTCGTTTCTCCTGAAAAATAAGTCCACATCCTTGGACGTTAAGTAAAACGAAATGCAGTTCTCCCCATCTCAGATTTATAATCTGGTTTTTTTTCTATGTGAATTCTTGGCGTCACGTGAAGTTCGAGTCCTTCTTCCGAACATTGATTTGGCTGGCGATACAGCATTAAGTGAGGCTGGGTGTGGGATTACTCCGGTTATTTTTCTCTGTCGTGCTCTCCCCTTGTGATCATTTTGAAAATCATTTGTACATCATAAAAGGAAGGGGAGACCCTTGATTACAAATAAGATTATATAGCTGAAAGAACAATTTTAAATCTGGATCATAAATAAGATTAAGTGGTCGATCGAACATTTTCAAATCCGTGATCCAGTCGAGACACAATAGATTGATAGATTCATTGGTAACAGAACATCCGAATTTGATTATGCAGTTGTCCTTTAGGTCATTTCTGATTTTCATTAAGTGGCATTCCTGTTTGGCTACTTCTATTTGGCTCACTATATCAGTGTTTATGGGAGTTCATGAATGTGCAATTCTTAGGAGCTTTTAACTAAAACGAAAGTAAATTTTCATTGTTCACTAGTTTTTGCATGATCCTTCAGTTCGTGATGGAAAATATCTTCAGTTTATACAAGAATTTAGTTTTTTTTCTCATTTAACTAAAGATTTTTTAAGTCTTCTCTGTAACCACTGTATAAGTCATTTTGTTCATTTAATATACAATCTAATAAGATATCGATTTGAAGTCAGCTTAGAACAGTCTTAACTGGCATTTTGCACATTTACTTTTTAAACTAGTTATATCAGATATAGATTACTTGGTTAATGTTCTCAAAGTAATCAACGCTGGTGTTTTGAGAGGTTGGTTAACGTCGCTTGAAACCCATCGTAATGTGAAGAAGGGGATGTACATTCATTTTACATATCTCAAGTTTTAACATGCCTCTGACTTCTTAAATTCGTTCTCCCTTTCTGTTGAATTATGTTTCTCGTGTTTAGTTTCTTACTATGATTAATAGTATCATTTTACCTTATATGTTTTTATCCTGTTACTTGCTTTTTGATATACTAATGTGGTGTGTTGAAACTTGAACCGATACATATTTGTACCATATCATAAGGTGTTAATGAATGATCGACTAACTTTACTGATGATAGGCTAGTTATCAATAATTCCATGGAAATAAACACTATGGGGGATCTTGGAGTTTATCGAATGTTATTGAGATCACGAATCAATAGAACTGTCAGTGGCTCTACTGTAGGATTTTTCTGTTCTATTTATTATAAATTAATAATTTCCAGGTATCAATTTGTTGAAGCAATAGCGATTAAAAAACTCAAATCTGATTTATGTATCTAAAGAGAGACAGTAATAAACCTATTACTACCCTGGTAAATCATTTTTTGTCATTATGTTTATTTTGTTATTGCTCATTTTGTTATGTGGTCTTCCCTTATCGAATTCTTATTTTATGTACATTAAAACCACCCTTTCATTCATACTTTTCTTTTTACTTAATTCTCTCAGCTTATATAAACTCTTCAAATCCTGTTCAGTTGTTACGTAACCCATCTTAGCCGTTTTTCAATTATAGGGATCATATGCAAACCCTTCATAACCTCTAAAATTATCACACAATTTATCTTATCTGTCTCTGAACCTCACCTAATTATTGCATCACCCATCTCTTATGTTTTTTTATTCTGACACCAAATGACCTATCACCTGTTTCTGTACATATATAGAGAGTTGTTATTGATAACCTTTGTCATTCTAATTCTTTTCATTCATCTATGTCTATTGTTTAACATACAATCCAATTGGGTCAGATTTAGGGCCACTAAAATCACACACATAGGGAGATCTAGCTGACTGGAATATCTTAGTACTGGAAATACTTATAGTTCCTGACAAGGAAATTTACAAAATGGTAACCTACTTTAATATCTGGGCTACCTGTTCCTCCCATCTAGATATTTCAACAAGTTATCTGTTTTCTTGTTTGTTTTAACACATCATTATGTCTATTAAGCTCACAGCCTATTCAGGCGCGTTTATGGAGACTTTACAACGTTTTGCTGTACGGGTTATAAAAAGATACAACCAGCGACATCATGGTGGCTGGCAATATGCATTGAAACAAATGAACATTATTCAGATGTAGCTTACCGAACTCCTAACATTTAACTGGCCATTACTCAATATTTATCGTCAGAATCCATCAAGATATAAGAAAAGGAAACTTGTTGAAATACTTTATTCTGAGAATTCTATATAGTACCCAAAATATAGTGTTGAATAAGGCTTATAATAGTAATAATAATAATGTATAATAGTGTTGGCAACTGAAGATGTATTCCATTGAAAAACGGGCTTTCAAGCAGCTTAGTTCTTCTCTTCAAGCAACTTGCTTAATGAAAAACTTTCTAAACATTAAAAATACGTCATAAATTTCATACAATTAGTTCCCTTTATGAATTTAAATAAAGCCAGAACGAACATGGATGCAGAATAATATGAATTCATCATATTTTGTGGATTCTCATCAGCTGCTTACAATCAAATATGTATTAGAATTTTACATTAAGGTAAGATATAGTGTGAAACAATTGAAATAAGTGAATGTTTTCTTGATTCTAACACCAAAATAACCTCTGACTTGTTCTTGCATACATATACATAGTTATTATTGATAACCCTTGCCATTCCAATTCTTTTCATCCATCTATGTTAATTGTTCCACAATATATCTTACCTCAATGTAAAGCATCTGATGAGAAACCAAAAAACAAAATGAATTCATATTATTCTGCATCCATGTTTGTTCTGGCTTTACTTAAATAATTTATACTTTTGAATTAATACACTTGTTACTTTGTATGACCATTTTTCTTTTGATTGAAATTCTAATTAAATTTACTAATTAAAAACTATAATAATGAATTATATTATTTATCAGTAATTATATTTATTTATTTCAGGTTACTATAACGGATTTCGGTTTAGCATATCACAAAACATTGAATTCAAATGAAACAAAATCAACTGTTGGTACATTATTTTATGCCTGGTATTATTCAATTTATTTTGATGCTTATTATATATTGTATCATAAATAACATCTTATTTAGTAGTACTCCTTATGAATTAGTATCTTTTTACTGTTCACTTAAGATATGAAACTTTTAAGATGAATCACGGTTACAGTTGTTATTTAATGAATATGTAGTTTTTTGTCCATTTTGAGTCTATTTTTGAATAGTTTTCGGTAACAAACTACATCTAATTGAATGAAAGATAGTTATACTGCTTCAAATGTCTAAACTAAGGTAGATTATACGAATATTCGTCAAGATTAGAACAAATAGTTCGACAGAAATTAGGCACCGAGTATAGAGAAGTCATTATATGTGAAAATTATATTTGAAATAATTAGAGCAACTGAAATTTAAATAATTCCAACGTTTCGTCCAGCGAACTTGTCTGGACTTCTTCGGGGTAATAATCAAAATCAAAATCACCAAAGAAATATATGGCTTTTTACCAATCAAAAAAGATGTAAATATTTCATAAATTTGATTCTTATCAGAAGGGGTTTTGTGGAGATTGTAGTAATTTCAATAGCTGAGATCATGAGTCAGTTGAAGCTAGACCACCATGGAAAACCTGGAAGCACTGGACGGCCGTTTCGTCCTATTGTGGTACTCCTCAGCAGTGCACATCCTCGGTCCTGCATACATAATTGTATTGCTAAAAACTCAGTCAAAAATAACGCTGCATGTGAAATGAACAGGTTGAATGAAGAGAAGGTTCAATTTACTTTTCACACGAAAAATTGCCGGGCAGTCGCTAGTTGAAGACCATCCTTTCTGTTCAGGCTGTTCTTGTTTGCCCATATATACAGCGCTTCTGCTGTCAATCTTTTTTTATGAGTGTTAAAACCTTTCTGAAGTATTTTGGTCCCTTCAAAATTAATCTTGTGTCCTGTTTCTAACGCATGTGACGCTATTGCAGACTTATTCTCAATTTTCTTCAAATCAACTGAGGATTTGGGAATATTTTTCAAACATTGTTTGTGTTCCTCCAACCTTCCATTTAATTGTCTGGATGTTTCTCCAACATAGACTGCATTACAATCATGACAACATTCTGTTGTTCTTCCTTTGGTAACCTGTCTTTAACTTTCACTAATATCGGTTTTAAGGTGTTACTTGCCCTAAAATACACTCTTATATCATGTTTTTTTAGAATCCGCTTGATTTCTTCCGATGTTCCACTACGGTATGGGGTTGTGGTGTATGCTACTTATATTGACATAAGTAGTATATGATGTTAGTCGTAAGCAGAAGGTCTGGAATCAGAGAGACAAGAGGATCGAACAGTAAAGAATGGAAACAAAATGCAATTTTATGGAAATGCAAGAACAATAAAGTCTGATTAATTTTAAGACAATCGATGGACATTTTGCAAATTAAGCATTTACTTTATGATTGTTAGGTTTTATTAACAAATCCTGTAATTTCGTGTTACGTACATTCGATTGTCCCCACCCGTGTTCTGTTCACTACAGGATGACTACGGTGTACATCCAAAATTTTTGTATATATCCTAGTTTGGTTTTTCTCTCATTTTTAACAATCTTCTTTAAAAACTCTTTTGGGTAGTTGTTATCCCTAAGCGTAGAAAATACTTTATTCAGTTCATTTCGTTGGTTTTCACTATCTGTAACAAGCTTAGTACTTCTGTTCATTAAATTTTTTACAACATTAACTTTCGTGCACTGTGCATGAGCCGAATCAAAATCTAAGTTTCTCTCGGAATGTGTTGATTTCCTGTAAACATTTATTTTCAACTTATTATTATTGTGTCTACGTTCAACCAAACAATCGAGAAATGCGAGTTTGTTGTCAACTGATTCTAATTTGTTTGTCAACTTAATGTTTTCTGAAATACTGTTTACATTGTCAAGTAATTCTTCTAAACCATCCCGTTTATTGATAATAAAAATGTCGTCTACATACCGTAACCATACCTTTGGTGGACATACACTTCTTGCGATTGCACTAGTTTCTAGGGAATGCATGAATAAATTCGCTACATTCGGAGAAACTGGTGAACCCATTTCTATACCCTCTTTCTGTTTGTAAAGGTGACCTTGGAATATGAATAAAGCAGATCTGAAACATAATTCCAAGCATTTGATAATCTCAGATGGATCTAACGAGCAACGTAAATTCAAATCTGAATCAGATTCTAAACAATCCTTGATAATATCCAAAGCTCTACTTCTGAAACATGTTTCTGCTTACCGTTTTTTAGCGAGTTAATTTTCTAAGGGATGGGGTCGTTAACCCAATGCCCAACCCTCCTTCTTTATCCGGGCTTGGGATCGGCAGTAGCCCCCGGAGGGGCTCCAGGTGGAGAGCAAACCAGATCCCGGTGGACGAAGAAATCAGGGAGAAGCGACGTAAGTGGATAGGACATACTCTCAAGAAAGCACCAAACTGCGTCACAAGACAAGCCCTCACATGGAATCCTCAAAGCCAAGGGAAAAGAGGGAGACCAAAGAATACATTACGCCGGGAAATGGAGATAGACATGAGAAAAATGAACAGGAATTGGATGGAATTACAAAAGAAGGCCCATGACAGAGTGAGTTGGAGAATGCTGGTCAGCGGCCTATGCTCCACTGGGAGTAACAGGCACATGAAGTGAAAGCTCTATTGATAGGTACATTAGTGAATAAGGAACATACATCAAAACTTGTCATAATTTCATCCTCTTCTATATCGATGGTATCAATCAAATTCTTGAATTCCATGGAGTTTTTAATTCCATGATCAATCAATTTTTTATACGGTTTGAGTATCTAAGCTAAGTATTTGGCTAGATTATAAATCGGTGAATTTGTAAAGTCTACCACTGGTCTTAGTGGAGTATTACTCTTCTGAATTTTTGGGAGTCCATAAAATCTGCAAGGGTTACAACTCTTTGGGTGTAACATAAACCATAATGACGATCCTAGCTTAGCGTTTAATGACTGTAAGAGTTTACTGGTTTCCGCCTTGAGTTTATTAAGAGTTGTTCTACTTTTCGATTTATTATTGAATTGTTGGTTGATATAGACTATATCTCGCACAGCTCCGAATAATAGTCAAGAAACTTAGTCTTTTTCTTTCGCTTCAGTCAATGGTGAGTGTAAATAATAATGAGGAATCATTTCACTAATTTCAATTTCTATCCTTTCGTTTGATAATCGTGCATATTTTAAAAATAATTGTATATTTAATCTAACAATACATATTGTATATATTTTTAAAATGAAACTCATCTATAGTCCAGAAATGATACAATGTCTTCCGTATGGTGAAGGTGCAGATATATGGGCACTTGGTTGTATTCTATATCAGATGTGTACATTTACTTCACCATTTCAAGGTGAATGCATTCTTAGTACTGCATCACGTATTGTAAAAGGTGAATATCAATCAGTCAAAATTAAATGTCCAAATCAATATTCTAATCTTGTTGATCAAATAATCGAAGTTTGTCTAAAACCTGATCCAGCTCAGAGACCTGATATAATAGGTAAACTACAAAATAAGCGAGCATTTTATACATCTGTTTATTGTATATGAATATAATTCACTGCACTCAAATAATTCAGATCCTTTTTATTTTAAAATTGCAGTATTTCGTAAAAGTTTGAACTCTTCTGAAATAGATCAACACCTTTGATACGATTAAAGCTTCTTGAGAACAATGTAGATTTCTTATTGATCATGGTTTATGACAGGGTTGATGGGACTACTAATAAGATTTGGAATGTTTCTGATATGGTATGAATTTTAATTAGAATTTAAAATTGACCTTTTCATATAAATCACTAACTAGTATTAAACATTGCTGCCGTAATAGTAATAATGATTGGAATCATGAACCGAAAGATTTTAGACCACCATTGAAAACTTGGAAGCACTGAACGGTTGTTTTGTCCTAGTATGAGACTCCTCCTCGCACATAGGGATCGACTTCAGGACTTCCGATCTCGCGCGTGAACGCTTAACCTCTAGACCACTGAGCCAGCATCCAGTGTTACTAATGTCTAACTTCAACCAATCCACATTAGTCGGTTCATAATTTTAATGAAATTCAGCGATCTATACAATCCTATACTGATAATGGTGATAATAATGATATTAAAATTAATAATAAGGGAGTCTCCGTCGTTGTTGAAAATCGGTGCTAAGGATATATTGTAGAAATTATCACAGTTGTTTTGTGTTTCAACATTTTTGTGATACGTAAAGAGATTATCAAGTGGCATGTTCTTCTGATCTTGAGGTTGATAACGTCTTCCTGTCGATTTCATGATTTGACGGCTTGTAAACTATTTGTATTACATTCAGTAACGTAATTCCACGTACTGAAAAAGTATGACACTTGTTTCATAAAATCAGGTTTATTTTCTTAATATTCTTACATACAATAAATAAAGTTAGTTAATATCACGTACTAACTTAGCATTAAAATCCTCAGCAGTGCTCAGCCACAACCACGATAGTAATTGAACAATAGTCAAATCAAACAGTCACTACATTACCTTCAGTTCTGATAACAAATAATTTTGTTCATTCGGTTCGCAGAAAACGGTTGCAGATGTGTTCAATGTATTGAAAAACATCTTGCTGGAGTAGCCTGTTGTATTAAAACCTAAATCTTTGTTTGGAACAAACTAACAACTTTAATTTTCATGTATGTATATAGGAAATTGTATTTTTAATTGATAAAGAGCATAACTTTTTTAGTGTAAATACAATTTATATGTTTACTTCATTGTTTATTTTAGGTGTGGCTACTTATTTGACCAGTGATATTCTGTCCCAATTAGATGCTACACAATCAAAATGTGCAAAAATTAAAGGAAAATTAAAAGAGTTTCAAAATACCATTATATGTGATTTGTGTTGTCCTTCTAAACACTCTAAGGATGAACAAGTTTATGAGAAACATAGTACATATATTAATAATGTAAGAAGTTCAAGTAGTCTTTTACGCATGTATTATGCAATCAAATAACTATTCAAATGAGGAAATAAAGTATGCACCACTTAATCCTCTTTCTCTATCCACTTTAGGACAGGAAAATCTGTTTATTCTATAGTATTCGATAATTGGGCGTCAAATATGCAAATTTAGTTTTCAGATCATAACACTGTTTTTATCGTTGACAAATTTCATAGTTATTAACACAAGTCTCTTTGCACATCTAACGCATTTTTGCACTGTTTATAAATTTTATTTTTTAAATATTATTATCATGCTTTATGGTTGTTTTGTATTAATGTATCAACCTGTTACCCACTAGTTATTATTGTAAACCAAACAACTCATCTACAAACTATCACTTACTAATGTGAAGTAAACATCGGGTTCGATGCAGAATACTGGTGAGAAGCCCATTCTCCTCCATGAGAGGTCACACCAGTTCACTATTCCTTCTTTTTTATTATTGTTCTGTGTGAGTTATTATAAATATGCAAATGAAATTATCACTTTTTGTTTTAACAAATTGAATATTCATGACCAAAGTCATAAAATAACTGTAACTAGACAACTATTCGCAAATCACAGAACACTGTTTATCTGTTTCCTTCTGGTATTGGACTTCCTAACAATGTATATCCACAGCCTAACCATGAGTAAAAATTGAGATAAAGATGCTTTGTGGCAGGGATTATTCTTAAAAGTGTATATTATTTGATGTCTGTTAGCTTTGAATTTGAACAAGTGGGTTTCTAAAAATTACTTGGAAAGAGAACTTTTCAATTTTATTCAGAACATAAACATATTTTTGAGTGTTATCATTAGGTTTTGACTAGGTAATTTCAAATAAATTGAGCGTCGGATAGATTAAAGAGGACGAATGTATTTTTTTCTTTGAAAAAACTTGGACCAGATTGCCAGGTGAAACGTTGGTTTTACTTCAAATTCATTCGCTGAGATTTTACAAATACATTCTACCTCTTTAATGTCTCACATCAACTCAGCGCTCAAACACTGTGAAACTATTCGATCAAATTTAGAATAAAGTTCTTATTTATTGGATAGATTGTTTGTAATAAATATATTATATTTGTAAAGTCCCAATTAGTAAGAAATCGATTTTCTAATATTTCATCACCTAGTTTAATCCACTTTTTTCGACAACAAGAATATATAAACGAATTAAACTAGCATAAATTTAAACACATTACAGCTTTACAAATGTATTATTTTTATTATTAAATATAACATTTTGTTGTTTTATGATATGGTATCAGTATACTATCGTTCATATAGCTTACTTATTTCTGACTGAACATGTGTTTACTGGTAAACATATTTGAATAATAGGATATTCAAAGTATAATAACTATTACAGGAAAAGATGGATAGCGGCTAGCAGTGAAATACATCACGCTCATTTCGCCCTATTTGGGACTCGTCATTTGGATGTACCTGTATTTCAGAGTTGATATTCACTTTGGGACTCGAACCCAATACTATTTACTTCAAATGCCATCGCATTACTCACTTAGCTACTGAGTTCAGATAACCACTTGCTTGTGAAGTTTAAATTCATTTGGTATTGTTTACTTGAATCATCCCATTAATGTTTAGGACTTCAATTGATCAGTCAGGACGAAATACTCATCCTGGATTCCACTGCTATACACTATCCATCTTTGCTTATAATGCTTGTGAATTAAGGCATTATAAAGGCAATACACAGAGCATGCACATCTGCCAATGATAGACGAATCGATTGCAGTCCTAAACATTAATGGGAAGATCCAAATAAGCAATACGAAGTGAATTTATAATAATTATTACTTGTAATAATTGACAATATTTATCCTGAATAACACTGTTGAACATGGATAAAAAAATTTTAAACGGAAATGTTTCTTAACCGTATAATGAAACTTTTTTTTAAGCTTTGTAATTAACTACCAATGTTTCAAAGATCATAAATTCTCTAATGAATTTAACTGTTAAAATTTAACTATTTGCTTCTAATTATCTTTCAAAAAGAAGTTAATTACTACTTAGAATACGCTTAATTTTACTCTTAAGGTTTCAAAAATAAAAATGTCCAGCTGTTGGGATATTCAGAAAAATATCCCGAAAATTATTCTGTTAAGTCTAACGCTATCATTGGACTTGAGATGGCATCATTTTCCTATTGGTCAATATTGATTTCACGTGTCATTTTCCTACTGGTCAATACTTATTTCGCGTGTCAAATGTTATTTTCTATTTTATGGTACGATGTGGTCTGCTTGATTGGTATATAAACAGAGTATGCTTGCAATATAACGATCCATATCTCAGAGGCTGAGACTTGTGTTCTGGACTCAACTGGCTGGGCTAGACAGGGAGGCGGAACCAGTCAGAACTCTAGGCAGTTCTTACGTGTTTTACACGTCTTTGGTCCAGTCGATAATACGCTGCTCTCTAATCTGCAGTCACAGTTATAACACCAGCGTACTTTTATTATTTGAAAGGTCATTTCTACCTGTTTACTAAATGAACATAAATATATTGAATTATTAGTTTAGTGGTTGTGGAGATTGTTAAGCTTATGATTGAGATCACGAACTGATTGATGTTAGACCACCATTGAAAACCTGGAAACACTGGATGGCCGTTTCGTCCTATTGTGGGACTCCTCAGCAGTGCGCATCCACAATAGACAATAACACCATTGGGTTCCGGCTCAGTGGTCCAGTAGGTTAAGCGTTCGCGCGCGAGACTAGAGGTACTGTGTTCGAATCCCGCGAGTGGGATCATGGATGCGCACTGCTGAGGAGTACCACAATATGACGAAACGGCCGTCCAGTGCTTCCAGGTTTTCCATGGTGGTATAGCTTCAATTGACTCATGATTTCAACCAGTGAAATATACTTCTATTGTATATCATAAATAATAAAAATTATAAATTACATTTTTAATATGCCTAATGAATATATTTTATACATCAATTTTATGATTCATTACAGGTTAGAGTACCTGATTCCAATGTAGAAGGTAAGTCATTTTTTAATAGTAATATTCTATTTAGTACGATAGTTATAAATGTGATCGTAATTTTATGAAGTTGTATTTTTCTTGTGTGACCTGAACTCTAGTAGCTTTGATATAATGGAATAATTCACATCATGATAAACTTGAGTATTGTAGATTGTTCATCAGATAAATAAATTAAACGTTTACTTAAACTTCATTTTTAGTTAACAATTAGGGAAGTACATTTCTCACAATCAGTGAATTGTAATTTTTATCTTATAAATAATGATATTGATAATATTTCACAATTATGTTACTTACTTACTTTACTTTAAAAGGTTTGAATAATTTTTTCTGGTTAGTGTTTTTTTAGCGAGTTAGTTTTCTACGGGATAGGGTCGCTAACCCCATGCCCCACCCTCCTCCTTTATCCGGGCTTGGGACCGGCAGTAACCCCCGAAGGGACTTCAGGCGAAGTTAATTATGTTACTTACTGACATTTATTATTCTCACTTCAGTTTATGCATCATACAAATATGTTATTTAATTACATACATCATCAATGTGTTAAAGTAATCTTCTAGAATTACAGTAGTAAATCAGTCCAGATAAACAACTAATATATTAGCCGTTCACATTAAAATGGAATTATGATCATTTATGAACTTCAATTAGATTTTTGTTAACCGTTACTAGACTGGATATTGTTTCTGCTTGAATTGTGCAACGTTTATCTAATATAATAGTTATGAACAACATTTTCACTTATGTATTGAATGAATCAAATTTACTTCTTATTTAGCTTGTAAGATTAAATGGGTTAATTGTAATTACAAATGATTAGACATGAAGTTATTTTCAAATAGTAATATACGAAACATTTTCTAACCGTATTTTCACTCAACCACCTTAATTCATAAACATACTGCGTAATCATATATTAAGTAGGCAATGTATATGCAAAAATACATCGAATGCCTTTAACCGGTCATTTCATTGATTTTTTCTTATTTTTACAATATACTATTATTTATTAACTGGATAGTGATGTTAAATATTGTATGGTGCAAAGCGGAAAAGCATAAATTGTTATCCTATAAATTACAATTAAACCATTAAGTTGTTGCGGTATTTCAATTAGTAACTAGATTTGATTGTGTAAGCTATTAAGTTGGATAAAAGTTTTAAATTTGTATCAAGAATTCATTTATTTATTACTTGTTCGAATATTTCCATTAACATTTAGGACTACACTTGACCAGTCTCTTATTGGTAAATGTGCATCCTGCGCGAATTGTCTCGCTATTGCCTTAAGTTACAGGCATTATAACGTCAATGGGAATATTCAGACAACCAATACAACAATAAATTAAACGTCATCCAAGTGCGCAGGCTGGTGGCTATCTGGACTCAGTAACTCAGTAGATAACGCGATGGCGCTTGAAGCGAACTGTACTGGATTCTAGTCCCAAATTGAACATCAACTCTGGGATGCGAAAACATCCAGCTGGCGAGTCCCAAATAGGACGAAACGCGCATCCTGGATTCTACCGCGGGCCATCATCCATCTGTGCTTATGATGCTTGTGTTAAGAATGTTTGGATTACCTTAAAGTGTTTGGCTTGTCCTTGTGGAGTTTTAGCATCTAATCTTACAATATGACGATGCTTAAAATTATTATCCAAAATATGATGTTAAATTATTCCACAATATTATTTTAATATTGGAAGTAAAAAATAATGTAGATTCTTGTTAGATTGTTTTAATATGAGAACTCTGGGATTCTGTTGTAGTCGCTCGAATAACTACATAGTAATACACTTCTCATCGATTCTCAGAGTTCTAAATATTGTAGGAATGCTAGACAGTTACTCTCAAAGATGAAATTATTCCGAAGAAGACCTTTCAGGACAACTGATCAACAATAAAAGTCACTTTATCCATCAAAATTACACAACTTTGTACAAAATATTTAACTAAAATAAGCCCGATTAGAAGAAATCATTAAAAGCTTAAATAATTGTAAACTTTAAATAGCGTAGGTCGAGCATCACTCCTATGTAGGTATTAGGTTAACTTCTTGTCATCTATATGAAGATTTTATCCATTTAATTAAAATTCAGTTAACAGCAGAAAGCGCCATAAATGACTACAAATTTCACTACTAATTATTGCTCAAGTGTCTTATTTTAATTTTTCAAAATATTCACAAAATATTAGGGAACTACTTCCCAACGTCATCGTATTACTGATTATTCTAATTTTTTCCTTTTTAAAAAAATTACTTTTTTTTAGAAATATCAACTACTGCACAAATTTTGCCTACGATAACAATCAATCAAGGTAATTTACGTGAAATCAATGATCCAGTACTCGGTATGATTACAGTAATGCATAAGTTGGGATACCTTTCTCAAGAATCCTCATTAAAAAATGATATCAGCTTAGAATATAAAGCTATTCAGTATATAGTGAAAAGGTAATTAAATAAATTTTATATCTGCTTCGTTTTTTTCTGAATTATGGAATGTTTTAAGGGTAGATTCTGAAAATCTCTCAGAATTTGTTTTAATACATTAGTACTGTTATGTTAGTTTTATGGAAATTTCGTCATTCAGCTAGTCATAGATAATGTGGAACTTGTCAATAATGTGTATTGATCTAATTTGACATAGTCCTTTTCAGTACAACAATCGATGGATTGACTAAAAGTGGACCCAGAAAATATATATATATGTCAGTAAAATTATTGACATACAAGATATGGTATCCGAACGAATCAATGAAACTGGAGAATAAAATGTGTAGAATGGTGAACAAATTCTATAAGAAGATAGGGAATGAATACAACTGTGAGATTTCGGTTGATTTTATCACTTGGTATCTCCAGCTACAGGATATGATCATAATACTGATCTCAACCTGGAAATCTGTACTTATTAACATGTATACGTATAAATATTTATAATCATCTTATATTAGTTTGGTCTTCCCTAATATTTTATTTCCCTACTTCTTTTCTAACCAGTATTGTGGGTCTTATTAGGTGAAAGCGATTTTATACACTATGAACATTATCTTCACCACTGTACATATCAGAACAATGAATAATAACTATCACATTCTGCTTTGAGATTCTATTGAAGTGTTCATACATCATCACTTTTAATATTAAGCTGAGATTTTTCATATTGCACTTCTAACAAGATCTCATTAATCCAGTGAGCTAATATCTAATCAGTTAATTTTGGATATAGCATGAACCTTAATTAATGTCATTGCTCTACTCTGCTTGTTATAACTTCCCACAATAGCACATCAGAGAAGCCGGAATAGCTTAGTTGGTAGAGCGTAAAACGGAAGTTCTAGGTGTCCTCGGTTCGATCTCGGGTTCTGGCTGGCAGTTAGCTCTCAGTTTGCCCACAAATGCCCTGATGCGGTCAAAGGTAAGGAGAATCAACTTTTCCTCATGAAATTCTCTCACATGGCCACGTGTATATAGCCGCTGCCATGGAAGTCCTACTCACTACCTTCTCGCTGCGAGGAGTGTTGTTTACGAAATTAACAGGACGAAAAGCGAATGTCTGGGGTTTTAATCGGGTTAATGGACGCGGAGGATTCACATAGGCGAGTTGAAAAAACCTGATTCCAAACCAATGGTGTACATGGGCTCCAGGATCTTGAGAGAACAAAAGTCGTATGTACCTATTGTTGATCACCACCTACTATGTGACTGTATCTTTTAACATTGCTCCACTGCCCTGTGGATTAGACCTCTAGGTCAAAGAAAACCACCTGCTTTGGTTTGAGCACTCAGGCAGTATTTCAGCCCTCACACAAATGAAATGAAGAAGTGGGGCACATGTTTAAATAAATAAGCAAATGAGAGCCAACTGGAACGTAGTTATGGGTAAATAAAAGTTGACTTGAAAGTTTCGCACAGTTTAGAAGTGATTTTCATCATTCAAATTATCATAAATTAAGGATTTTTGCCAAGTAACTCGATGTTGTTTGAACTAAAAATGTAAAATGAAATTGATAGAATTGTATGATAGTATTAGCATTTATTAAATCTTACCAACAAATTTCATAATTTTGTTTAAATATCGCTGTATCAATTAAAGTTCAATTAAAGTACAGCTGTAAAATGCATTCATTTAATACTATTTATTGTACTATTTATTGTAAAGACAAATGCTTTTATTGTGGTCAAAAGGAACCTCTATGTAGATCGAATTATGAAATGTCAGTAGTTTAGGAAGCTAAGGACCATCATACAAAGTTTTTGATTTAGTTTGAGACTATTTTCAATCATGCTTACCTCAAACGGAATCAAACCTGAAACAAAATATGTAACATACAAAGATACTCTTCACGAAATTATCTCTCTTATTCGGACTAACTGTTATTGCCTAGATATTGGCAATAATTTTAAATAATACCATATGAATAATTACAATTAGACATTTGATTAGGAAAATTCCCGAAATATTTTTATAAATAAAAAATAGAATTTATACGGATATTCGTCAAGATTAGAACAAATAGTTTGGCATAAACTGGGCCTCGAGTATAGAGTAGTCATTATATATGAAAATTATATTTGAAATAATCTCAGCGGTTGAAATTTAAATAATCCGAACGTTTCGTTCAGCTAACTTGTCTGGACTTCTCTTCAGGGTAATAATCAAAATCAAAAACCATCAAAAAATAGAATAGTAGATTTTAAAGTTTCTTTATAGGAGCTTAATAATGAAGTTAACTGAAATATTTCTTTTTTATTATTGAGCAAATTATTCATTTATTCAAAAATTGACAAAATGGGATATCATCTTAGGATGAAACTATAATTTATGGACGACCTTTGAGCGACGCTACACTGACCTTGAGAGTGTTCACTTAATAACTAGGACCAAATGAGAGTTATAAACCTATGTGAGGAACTCGAATTACGATTTACAGTTGATAGTTAGGGTTACGAATTAGATTTAGGGTTTTGATTACGAATTGACATAATCTATAATAAGTGAACTTCGCGACAAAATCCGAGACCTGTTATCTTATACCTGATTGGTTCGTCCATAAATTATAATCTCGCCTCTCTTAATTCAAATTATCCAGTATGTTGAATCTTTAATAAAATTGTTACAGGTATGTAATGGTGGTAACCGATTATTCTTAAATTCTGACATTTTATTCCTTCTTGTTTTTGTAAGGGAAACTTCAAGTCGTTGATCACTATTATAGTCAAAATATCACTAGATACTTTACTCATCATTCAAAGCTAAATATCATGAATAGAATTATATTATATAACAAAAAAGAAAAGATGTAAATATTTTATAAATTTGATTCTTATCAGAAGGGGTTGTGTGGAGATTTTAGAAATTTCACTGATTGAAATCATGAGTCAATCCGCGCAATTTCGTGGATTGGTTGAAGTTAGACATTAACACCATTGGACGCCGACCGGCCCAGTGGTCTAGTTGGTTAAGCGTCTGCCCGAGACTGATAGGTCCTGGGTTGGAATCTCGCGGGGTGCGGGATCGTGGATACGCACTGCTGAGGAGTCCCATACTAGGACGGGAAAGCCGTCCAATGCTTCCAGGTTTTCCATGGTGGTCTAACTTCAATTGACTCATGATTTGAATCAGTGAAGTTTGATTCTGTAATTATTTTTAATCTTTTCTTTTTTCTTTGTACCAAATTTATTATAGCTACCAACATCGGTTATTTGCTGCCGGTATAAAACCAATTACACTAAAAGAGGAATTATTTAAACTTACATCTTATTGTTCAGATTGTATAAATGATAAATTTTTGGAGATTAATAATAAAGAGAGTAATTCTTCATTACTGAATATACTTAAAAGTAATTACGTGGTATCTATTTTATGATTACAAATTGCTCAACCATAGTTTACATTTGACCAACTGTTATATTGTAAAATTACTATATATATTTTTTTGATTATTGGAATTAATTCGATGTAAGAAGCAAGTACGGAAAATATCGTTAGGAATTAGCTCAGTGTTAACTTGTTGAGCTGATATTAGAAAAAAATAACATACGTATAAATGGCTATGAAAAGAGTTAGCTGGTTTGTTGACTTTTTCAAGGTTCACCTGACATTCGTTCATTCAACATATCGATTAAGAATATGGTCAGTCTCATATTACTTTTGGTATAAAATGCATTCTAACTTTTATTTAGATTTATCGAATACTATAAAAGGTGTAGCGGTAAATAAATCCCCAAAATAAATAGCTCTGTAAGGTTTCGACATTGGATGCTGACCGCATTTGTTTTAATGGACTCACCTAGCTGAAGGCGCTCGGTCATGCATCCGCCCCAGATCACGAGTGGGAACGCCGTGTTCAACAACCCCTACAATCGCTAGCCAGATTAGATCAGACGATCCTCAATATATTGATGGCCTATCAGATATATCTTCGAACCTCCTCGCTTCTGTCTTTTGATTTCACTTGATGGATACGATTCATATTAGGTGTTACTGGTTAAAGCGTTGTCAAACTCCGAATACCTGTGGCATCTTCAAAGGTAAAAGCTTAACGAGTCAGTTTATCTCAATAATTTCTCAAAGGTTTTTAAACTGGGCTTTAAGACCCTACTGATTTTGCTCTGTGGACCAGTAATCTGATTGATAATCTTTAAGCAGGTTTTTATTCATTATTTAATAACACATTTATGTCTTGGAGATTTCGTCTTAGATCTCTTTATACTGCGATTTATATGGTTTGTGGAAATATGGCGAATTAAGATGAAGTATCTATTGATTTTTAACGCAATCATAGATTTCTTATCCTCAAATTTTATTTAAACTTATTCTAAGCTTTATTCTGTAAATTAACTTCAAAATTACATATACCTCATTGGTATAGACCGTCAATGAATGACCTAAGGATAAAAATTCTTTAAATATTTCGAGTACTTTGACCCAAAGCTTATTACATTACTATTATTGAAACTAGGTCACAATTTGATGGTCCTGGAAGAATTGAGGCGAATTAAAGTTCAGGATGATTAGATCAAGTAATCGATGAAAACAGTTTTGAGTTATATAACAATGTGTAAGTTCTCTATATCAAGTTCACGGCGTTGACAATCGTTTTATAAGGAGCTTATATGTGACATAGTTCGCAACGTTATATTTTTTCTATGTTAATTCAATACGTGCCTATATGAAGCAACGTAATGTTCTATGTTATACAATATTTTATCTGTGTAAATTATCAGAGTAAATTCACATATACCAGATAGTTAATCTAAACTTTATCGATCCAATCTTTAATCAGAAAGGTGTGAAAAATCGGAGTATAACGTTATTTACTCTCACCGATAATATTTAGAGAAAGGCGACCAAGTATTTGTTTAGTTGGGATTGTTCAACAGTTTTCATCTACACTTTGACACTTAATCAAACCTAACTCATTCAGTTTAAAATAAAAAATTAAAGGACCACAATTGAGTAAATTGGTAGGCCAGAGAAAAAGAATACCCAGCCTTTTAATTATCCGACTATAATATTGCATTATATTAAGTACATACGTTTATGATATACTACTCATTCAAAATGTTGTGTTTTTTCGTGTTGCTTTTATAGAGTTTTCACCTGATCTAGCTGTCAAATTAGACAGAAATGGTTATATCAATTATGCTATTCTGATGTATTTAATAGACTTATTATTAAAGCAATGTACTTCATATTTTTCTTAAATTATCGTACATAATTGTTTTACTGTTAATTCAATTCAATTTCAACTATCTCCATGCACATTAACTATTGATGGAAGTGGATTTTTTTTAAAAAATTTTATCCTTTTCTTTTTTAAATGAAAAGAGAATTTATCACTTTCATATTCTTTTGAAGTTCGTATTTTACATTGACAACTTAACATTTCCGTCTATTATTTATTAGACAGAAAATCAAATTTTCTGGTGGAAAAATAATCCAATTCACGAAAGTTGAATTAAAAGTTTTGATTTAAATCAATTCACGAAAAGAATTGGTTCAGCAAAGAGTTCTCTTTTAGGTGAATTCATTTTCAAAACTGGATGATAGCGAATAAGTATTTATTGTTCTAAAATGATGATAATTACAATAATAGTGATCACGGAATCCAGCTAAGCATGGTAACAATGAGGTAGAATAAACAAAGGCATAGAAACGTTATTTTTTCATCAGAAAAAAAAACTAAAAATAATTTTGTTATTGAGAGCTTGAATATTCATTATTAAGATAGTTAAGAATCATAATTGTGGACGGAAGGTTCAGTAAGATAAGATAAAATGTTGAAATTGAAATGAACTGTAATCAAGAGGAGCATACAAACAGAAACAAATTAGTTGAGGGGTAAAAGGTCTTTAGAGAAGATAGAAAGAAAACAGATGGGTGTGAAAGAAGAAAAAATATGAAGTTCATCTCGTAAACGATGGTAGTAGAAGAGGTTGTGCCAGTTCCTCTTAGGCACAATTCTGGTTTTTTTCAGATGTATAACTAGTGTTGCAGCAATGCTAAGACAATGGAATATAACTGCCCTTGGCCGCCTCCTACTTACTTTGTATATGATTTTGAACTCATAATCCGCTTTGATCGGATGACTTGTGTTCACAGGGTGTCTTATTACTGAACTTCTTATTGAGCCATTTTCACCTTTTTTCAGTTAAGTAAATTGATAAACACATACAGAATCGGTCAAATGAAATTACTTATCCTTACGCTTATTACTGAACATTGATCAGCTGTAAAGCACTTCTCAAAGTCGCTATGGAGTATGTTCTATTGATTAATTTCCCGTTATTCATAGCGTCATTAAAGTTGTATTTAAATATTTTTCGTTCCTTAGGAACATTTTATCAGAGTTCAATGAACAATGATGTTAGGCGGCCTACGCTCCTCCAGGAAAGGTAACAGACGTAGGTCTTAATCAGTTTAGAGAAAAATGTTTGCTGCAGACTGGTAAATAAAAATACAAACTACATATTTAGGTAAAAGTCCCATAAGTTGAAAGTAACTCGAGAAGTTTAGCAATTTTCTACTTTGTAATCAACACATTCATGTTCAGAAATATGATGACAGAATAATTAATACAAAATTCTTTGATTTCGAGCAGTTGCGCATACTCCACTTTAAACTTTCCGGTTGCATATTTGCACTCTACCCTATTTCGGCTTTCAACACCCGTATTGTCTTACCAGTCCTGATAGATAAGCTATAGCTTAAAGCTCAATACTTACTTGATTAGTCGATTACATGAAAATCAAAGTAATTTACGTAAACCCTTGTTTAAGATATTGACTAATAGGAAAAGAGATAATTTTTTGTAAAGATGAACTTACAACGGACGAAGCTAAACTAACGTACACTGCTACTAGTCGCCATGATCAAATTTACATTTTTTTAATCCTCATATATGAAGTACTACCTGAAGAATTTCGCGAAGAAAGTTCCCAGTTCATAGTTGATTCGTTTTTAGCATATTCAATTACTGTATAATTTATTTGTTATTGTGCTTTTTGAGTGACTATTTTCTCTCTATTCCTCTACCAAATTCTATAATTTATGCTCAAAAAACAGATATAGTATCACACACTACGTTTTACCTTTTTGAATTATAACCTCATATGGATTCATCCTCAGTACTTTCATTGTAAGTACTCCACTAAGACAGTTTGAAACCAAACAGACAAACTTTACATAAGGATTATAAATAAATTCGATCAGTAGAATAAAATGTCAGGTATGTACTAAAAGACTAGAATTGGATGAGATTGTTCTTCGTAATATATCATTTTGGAGGTTCAGTTATCGATGAGAATCATTTCTTAGAAAATTCACCTTACGCATAATTTTCATCAATACTCAAGGAGTAATGCCATTTCACGATATAATCTATAAACAACTTTCTGTGACCAGCTACTACAGCTAATTCGCTACTACTTTAGCCAATATCATATGTTTATACATACTGGGACTGAAAGAATTTGTTTGAACTGATTTAAATAAAACTCAATTTTATGAACAATATAGTAGGCTAAATAATGATACAATGCATATAAAAACATTTGAAATATAAGATTTTATCTTTTGAAAAAACATCGTCGTATATCTTTAATGAAAACAAAACGACATTTAGTATATTTTGCACACTGATTACAAGTTAAAAGGTATATATAATATATAAGCATTTATATAAAAAGTATATAGATAGAATAGGTTTTCTATGTAAATAAAGCCCCCGCCTAGACTTGGATACGTCAACTTGCATTTGCTTTCTCACTGATTTATGTGTAGACTGAAGGCTTTACAATCAACTGAATAAATTCAGATGTCATCTGATTCTATGCATTGTTTGAAAGTAACAACTATAACGTAGTTCTTTTGAACCAGATAATTCAAATGATTAGCACATTATTCATAACATTCTACGTTTGATATAAGAGTTACCAATAATGTCTGGAGATAACAACTTTCTACGATCAGATGTCTTCATTTCATCAAGTATCTGTAATTAAATAGTATTTTAAAAATATCCATAAATGTATTTCATACAGTCTATTTAAAGTAAACAATTAGACTGTAACTGTGGTATGTGGTACTCATGCTTGCAAGTATAATTAGTGTGACACCGATTGAAAGTGGAGTGTCTGCGATCGGAATGTTGAAAAGATTGAAATGGAAAGAAGAGAAAAAGAAACTGAAAACAGCCAAGATAAACAAAAGAAATGAAGGGACAATGAATTCTGTAAGAAATAATTCGAAGATGTGCAAATGACGTATTTAATGTATGATTTTCGCATTTTACTAAATTATTGTGTGATTGTGCATTAAACAATAAATCAGTTTTCCCCAGCACGTCTCTATTCACTGCATAACAACATAATCAAAATGCCCAAGATGTTTGAAACACAATCATTATTATTTATCTCAATCGAGGTTATAAATTGATTTTTGATGCCGTCCGCAAGAAACATATTCACTATTCAAAGGTTTAACATGATTACTGAGAACTTATTAACTGTCGTTAATTGCCACTGATTAAACTACCAATCAAAAGCTAAATTTGAAACGACTTTTTCTTTTAAACTTCATTTGATGAGCTGAAAAGTCATATATGACACGAGTAAACTAAAAGTAGAAAAAATCATTTTTTCTAAGGTCATTAAGGCTGCTTTAATAGTAGTGAATCTGACACTTGCAGTCAAAGCTAAAAGTAAATGAACATTCCTGAGACAAATTTTTCGAGATGAACTTGAAGTTTAAATGAATGCATTTTTTCCACTGAGATAGATGACTTAATTGAGAAAACCTTCTGTCGTCGTATTTATAACTGTTGATAAATTAAGAAGAGTTGAGACAAGAAATTTTCTTTTCAAGTGAATCTTCTTTGGGTCTCTCTCTCTCTCTCTCTCTCTCTCTTTATATATATATATATATATATATATATATATATATATATATATATATATATATATATATATATATAATGCAAGTGCTTTGTACTTGAGTAAGTCGATACCAATCAGATGATGATGAGTCAATTTAACAAAACACATCATCAGCTAGTTACACAACATTCGGAAAATTAAAACTAAGGTGAATAATCACTTAATTACTACATATGGTTACATAGGAGTAGCAGTAGGAGTTAAAATTGAATACAAATATATATGTCAACAGTTGAGATCATGAATCAATTGAAGCTAGACCACCATGGAAAACCTGGAAGCACTGGACGGCCGTTTTGCTCTACTGTGTAACTCCTCAGCAGTGTGCATCCACAACCCCACCTCACGGGGTCCGAACCCAGGACCTGTCAGTCTCGAGTCATGCGCTTAACCAAATAGACCACTGAGCCGGCGTCCGACGGTGTTAACGTATATCTTCAACTAATCCATGAAATTGAGCGACACATCCACCACTGTCATCGGTGAGTTATTATCTCACAACTGACCCGGTTGAACTCCTGTGGTCACTGCTTCTCACTAGAACTCCAGGATATACCTCTTGAAACCAGTCACTAGAGAGCATATGTTGATTAGTATCAGAAAGGGATTTTGTGGAGATTGTAGTAATTCCAACATGATTCATGATCTCAACTGTTGAAATTACTACAATCTCCACAAAACCCTTTCTGATGCATATATAAATGTCTTTTGTTATCTGTGAAATTAATGATAAGTAGGACGGGATTTAGTATTAGCAGTGAAAATTAGATGCTATGATTAAAAATCAGGATATGTAAGATTATAATTAGAAACTAACATTTTAACAAAATGGAGATTCGAGAACTTTTATGGGGGGAGAAAGAAATGTTTTTAAACACATGATAGCATTCAAATGGATGGCCAGGGAAGATTCAGAGGCTGTATAGACTTCCTCATACAAAGGTTAGATTTTTTAATATGTATTTTTATGGCTTCTGTCGTATGTAAGAGTCGAATTCCGGAACCAGAGTAGTGAGTTTGGTGGCGTCGACCTAATGACGTATAAAGCATATATATAGTATAGAGCAAAGATGAAGATTTATTTGAAAAGAAAGATTTGATCGTTCAACTTAACATATCAATATCTCAACGGGAATGTTTTTTGAATTCTCGGTAAACTGAAGCTTTTGTATACTTGCACTATGCACTCGTGGAAAATTCGGTACTGAAAATTAGATGTAATTTCAAAAATTTCATGCTGTTTACATATACTGACGTACAAAAGTACAGGGTTTTCGTCTTAAACGTATTTGGAAGATACCAGTGGTTTTAACTCTACAAACGTGCTCGAAACAGATTAAGACATCATTAATAAACGAGTTTGCTCTCATGACTCTAGACATCGGCACATGCATTTTAAATGTTCTCTAGGCTTGTTGATATTTCATAAAGCTTGCGTAGGAGAGTTGAAGCGAAATAGTACTTCTACTTGATGAGTTATACAATAATTCAACTCACTGGTGATTATTGTAGGACAAGTAGATGTCTTAGAGATAATCCAAATTA